ATGGAGGAATGGAGGCACTCTCCAGTTAGATTTACTAAATGTATGTACTTGTTCAGTGGTTGAGTTATTTTGAGAAAGACATGTAAATAACAGAATAATGATTGACTGCCTGATGTCAAAAGTCTTATCTGTGGAAAATATTGCACTTTTCACCCCCATAGGAAGTTTGAGTATCATTCTTAGAGAAATTCCACATGGATGGCCTTTCTCCCAATGTCACACCCTGTGCTCCGATGGTCTCATTCCAGGGTGAGTTACAACTTTATCAGTCAGGTAATATTATAGATTAAGGTTTTTGGTCCTCATTTTCCTTATTTGAAATATGTTTCAGTTGTTTTCACAGACTGTTGTCTTCTTTCTATGGGATTGATTCTTGTTTACAAACCCTGAAAATAGCCACTTTTTTAGGCTTAGATACTGCTTTTCTATAGCTTTGGCCTTGTTAGTAGAAAGCCTTTAGAGCTAGTGATAATAACAGTATAATAGTAGGAATAGCTAGCAAATGTTATTGTACTTCAAGCACAGATGTCTCATTTAATGACATGTAACTTCAGAGGTTCAGCTGTTAACACACCATCTATAAACACAGTTTCGTTGATGAAGACAGGGATGATGTTTTACCAGTTTGCTGAACCAGGAAACAGGAAAGTCTTACCTAAAACTCTATAGCTGTTTAGGGGAGCTGAAACTAAAACCCAGATGACTGGCCTTTTGTCACCCTGCCAGTTTTAGTTTAATCACGCCAGACTCAGTGCTTAGTTGATGGGATATTGACATTGTGAGGTGGCCAAAGTGGGGCTACATCTGAATTTGCTTTGGCTGTAACCTGGAATGGCTGCGCTGCTGCCTGCCATTTATTAGATAGGGTTCACTCTGCCTTACTTTTTCTTTGGGTTTTCGGGAAGTCGTTTCCTTTGGTACGGGGAGTGCTTGCTTCTGATTGGCTCACAGGGTCTTTGTTCTTTTCTTAGGAAGTGTTTATCACCCGTGAGTTCAGTAAATACAGTCAAATGTGGTGGCACATGTGTAATCCCAGCATTTGGGGGATAGAGGCAGGAGGTCAGGAATTTTAGGTGGCTATGGAGTGAGTTCAAGGTCAGTCTGAGCTGTATAAAACCTTTGTTTTTGTCTTTCAAAACAAAACAAGTTCATTAACTACACTTAGCTAGTTTGGGTTTTTCTTGCAAGCTATGGAATTGTCCTTCCTGAGGATGATTAAGGATGGAACTCACTAAGAGACTAGCAGAGTGGCATTTATTTTAGAGGCTACACTGGTAGGGCCTCCAAATAGAGGTTGTTTTTGGGAGGAGTCAGATGATACTGAGATTTGGAGTTTACATTTCTGGGATTTGGAGTTTACATTGCCATTCACAGTTGGGTATTCTGGGAGAAGATGTCAGGTGCATAGTTTGAAACTTGGGCCTCAGATTGGTGTCCTTAGTAACTAGTAGGTTATTGGTGAGTGTAGAGTCATTTTTGGAGTGTGTCAGGAAGGTGAGTATTCTGCATGTTGGAAGTGAGGAGGTATTACTGAGCATGCACTCTGTTGGTGCATGCTCTGTTACACTGTTGCTGTGATAAAATACTGTGATGAAGGCAGTTTACAGAAGGAAGGGTTATGATGAATCCATCATGGTGGGGAGGCATGGCAGCAAGTGACAGGCTTGGCCTCCGGAGCTGGAAGATCACGTTTCACATTTTGACCACAATCAGGATACAGAGAAATTAGAGTGTGACTGTGTACTCTCTGAGCCCATCCCCCGTGACATACTATCTCCAGCTCCTAAGCCCCCCAAACAGCACCACCAACTAGGACCATGTATTCAAATGTCTGAGGCTTTTAGGGATATTTTACCTTCAAATCACCACAGGTATAGAGACAGAGTCCAGCTGTAGGAGGAATTGGAGATGCTTCCTACAGAAGATATTTGCATAGGATCAGGTTAATGACATGTGCAGTGAAAAGGATGAGAAGGATTTGGTGCTAAAGTCGAGCAGAGTTTGAATCAGCAGATGCTGGAGGTGTTGCAAAGATGAGCCAAAAAAGTCTTGCAGCATCCTTTGTGACCTTCCAGTAGTTCTTAGAAACTAGACAGCAAGGTAGGGAAGGGCTGAAGTTGGGACGTTTTCAGGGAGAGGCGAGGAGCTTGAGGGCGTTAGGAGGTTATTTCATAGACAAAGCAGAGGCGAGTGAGGAAAACCTGTGGTGCGACTGTTTTGATTCTGGCAGTAGGTTAATAGGTGATAGTGGAAGCTAACACTTTCAAGGTCAGGTTGGAATTATAAAAGCTTTCCGGAATTAACAGAGTTTCGAGGACTTCTGCAGGCTGGCCTAGGTTTATGCCCCTCAAATCAAACATTGCCGACTGTTTCTCTGAATTCTGAAGCAGAAGTAGCTAAGCCTACTTAACCATCGATTGGGGTTCATTGGTGTTTCGTGATGTGTATTAGAAATGACAGTAACAGCCAAGCGGTGGTGATGCACACCTTTAATCCCAGCACTCTGTGAGTTCAAGACTGGCCTGGTCTATAGAGTGAGTTCCAGGACAGCCAAGGTTACATAAGAAACCCTGTCTGGGGGAGAGGGGAGAATGACAGCAATAGCATTTTCAGCAGTAATTTTCTAACCCTGTAGTTATATAAGTTCATAAGCTCTACTTACTCTGTATTGTGAGTTATGAATTATTCTAAATTTTCCCTCCACATTTCTTTATCTCTCCTAATCCTCCCCTCCCTCCTCCTTACCTTTCTTCCCCTTTTTGGTGCTGGAGCAAACTCAGTGGTCTTACACAGAAGGTCTACCACTTACCATACCCTACATACCTTCCTCTTTCATTTTTTGAAGTCAATTTTTACTTTCTTTAAAGGAGAGATGAAGAAAACCCTGCAGGATGAGATTGAAGCCATTCTTAGGAAGAGGATTATGGTGCTAGATGGTGGAATGGGGACCATGATCCAGCGATACAAACTAAGTGAAGAAAGTTTCCAAGGTCAAGAATTTAGAGATCACACCAGGCCACTGAAAGGCAACAATGACATCTTAAGTATAACCCAGCCTGATATTATTTGCCAAATTCATAAGGTGAGTTATTTCCAGGCTCTTAAACATTCATTCAGGCTATTCATGTATCAAGCTCCGACCCTTATATCTAGAGAATATGGAAAAAGGTATGGAAAAAGGATGGGATTTCTTAAAAAAGCAGGTTTTTCACACCAAATAAAAGTTACACACTGGGAGCTGGAGAGATGGCTCAGTGGTTAAGAGCACTGACTATTCTTCCAAAGGTCCTGAGTTCAGTTCCCAACAACCACATGGTGGCTCACAACCACCTTGAATGAGCTCTGATGTCCTCTGCTGGCATGCAGGCAGAAGATTGTATACATAATAAATAAATAAAATATTAAAAAAAAGTTACACACTGTGTTGGTTCGGTACTTGGGATAAGGAGATGATGAGGGTAGTTATTTTATTTTTTGTGGGGGGGACCTTTGAAGCATTTAAACTTTAGCTGAAAAGCCATAAATCCTGAAACAAATTAGGAATTTTCATATTTGTCTATTAATACCTTGTGAAGGTGAAAGATGGTGTCTTAGTTTGTGCTACTATACAGTTCTCAGACTGGGTAGCTCAAATAACATTCCTATGTATGTATGTATGTATGTATGTATGTATGTATGATGTATGAGTACTTTGACTGCATGTATGTATGTGCATCATGTATGTGCCTGGTGCAGGGAAGCCAAAATTAGGTGTCAGACCCTCTAGGATTGCCTCTAGGAGTTTTAGATGGTTGTGAACTGCCATTTGGGTATTGGTAATTGAACCTGGTTTCCTGGAAGAGCACCTGGTGCTCTTACCTGTTGAGCTACTTCTCCAGGCACCAACATTTATTTCTTAGTTTGTAACAGTAGGAAGTACATCATTGAGATGCCATTAGATCTGGGGTCTACTGAGGGCCCTCTCTGCTTACTGTATACCTTTCTTCCTGTCATATCCTCATATGATGGAGTACAGCAAGAGAAAGCAGATCTGGTCATCTAGTAGGGTACACTAAGGTCTGACTGTCATGTCTCTTCCTCCCTGCCAAGATTTGTACATTGAATTTTAGTATGGCATCAGGAGGTGCCCTTAGGGTTGTTTTCAGATACAGAGAGAGAGAGAGAGAGAGAGAGAGAGAGAGAGAGAGAGAGAGAGAGAGAGAGAGAGAGAATGTGTATTTGTGTAGTAAATATATGTATTTATATTTACTGTGGAGGCTATAAGAGGGTGTCTGATCCTCTGGAACTATAGTTACATATGATTGTGAGCTGTCATGAGTGCTGGGAATGAAACTAGGTCCTTTGGAAGAACAGGCAGCCCTTAACCTTGGAACTATCTCTCCAGTCCTGTTTTCTTGCTGTTTAAAATAAGAATAAATTCTCCTTTGACTACTGCTGTGAATTGCTACCTTTCACCATAACTATCAGTTGATGCTTATCTTCCTAATTGTTTTTGTTACACATTTATATCTGCATAGTGGCATAGTGTTTTTTTTTTTTTTTTTTTGGTTTTTCAAGACAGGGTTTCTCTGTGGCTTTGGAGGCTGTCCTGGAACTCACTCGGTAGACCAGGCTGGTCTCGAACTCACAGTGATCCGCCTGCCTCTGCCTCCCGAGTGCTGGGATTAAAGGCGTGGGCCACCAACGCCTGGCTTGAATGTATATGTTTTAAACTTAGTGGTTGTATGCATATGTTACTTATCTCTCCTAGAATAGCTGACAGAAATGAGATTTATTTTGGCTCAAATAGAATGTATAGTCCATTGGGACAGGAAGGCATTATAGTGTTTGTGGTGGAGAGGGCACTTGCTTGTTAAAAGGCATTGATCATGATACATTGTACTGATCAGGAACAGAGATGCTACCAGTTGGGACAAGTCCTTAAACATGAGTCTAAATTCATTTTGTATTCAGACTGTAGCAATATGCTTATACATTGTGTTTTCCTGTTCACTGGTGCTTTGATAGCTTCACCATGTCATATAAATACACAATGATATTTTAGGTATCATATGACATGTAATAAAGTTACTTTAGTTATCTCCTTCTTGATAACTGCTATTATAAATGTGCTTGTCTTGGCTTTCATTTTCAATTCTGCAAACATTATTCATCAGCTTAGGAATGACTGTTAGAAAATCAAAGGGGTCGAGGCTGTGAGTCAGATTGAGATGGAGATGTTGTCCAGACAGAGAAACTAGGAAGGCAGGTTTTTAACAGGCAGAGTGGTAGAGTACCAAGTTCTCTGTATTCCAGGAAGGATGCAGATAGAGGAGTAGGAGATGCAGACTGAAAAAAAAATGCTCAAAATTTGATCTCTTAGGGCAGTACAGTTCTCTGATCAGTTACATTCAAGTAGGGAGGTATGGGGAACAGAGCTTGGCAGCTCCTGAGTGCCCAGGTGTGCCAGACACTTGAAGTGCTGCCTGATATTACCATATAGATTTAGTGTTGGCAGAAAATTGTTTTAATAATTTGGATGAGGAGGCCAATACTCAGAAAATTTCAGGAATTTGATAGGCAGGATTCTAGTTATTGCCCCACCCACTACTCCTTAAAGTTTGTATATTTTTTCCTTAAAAACTGGCAGCAAAAACAAAACCCTAAAAAACCAAAACCAAAAACCAGAGTTTAAGGAATTTAACTATATTTATATAACTTAATATATTATTTTTGTCCGAATTTATGTTCTGTGCTTATGTATTACATCACATGCCTTTCTGTGAAATGCTTGTACTTGCTTGCATCTCTAGTCTTGAGTGTATTGTCTTATGTGTTGATTAAAAGATTTTAGTGACAGAATGAAAAGCCATGTTTATTATTGGGGCCATCTCTTAAGTTCACAGTAGCTGACATACTATCTTTTGTTGCAGGAATACTTGCTGGCTGGAGCAGATATCATTGAAACAAACACTTTCAGCAGCACTAGTATTGCCCAAGCTGACTATGGCCTTGAACACTTGGTGAGACTTTCCTATCTAACATGCTTACTAGCATTTATTGCACTGGAGATTGCTAGTGACAGAATCACCTGAAGCAGCAGTCAGTCTGATTCTAATTATCAGGGATCATGGCTGGAACCTCTTCTGCTTATGAGGGTAGCAGCCCATTCATTGCAGCTGGCTTTTGGGGGCAAGTGATAGGCAAATAACAGTGTATCCTTTGGTCAAGGCAGTATTATGACTGTGAAACTGTACACATAAATAAATGGCTGTGGCTGTTCAGAACAGAAGTGCTCAACTAGATGGGCCATGAACAGTGCACCAAACCCTGCGTAGGATACTCTGATCTATTAATTGCACACTTTGAGGAGCCAAGGCGGTTAAAGGAGTTGATGCAGATCACAAACCTAGGAACACTTGCTGGTGTATGAACAGCTTCTGAAGGGTCCCTTCACTTGTAGACTGCTTTTTTTGTGTGTTTGCCTACTTGCTTGCTCTTTTTCATCGAGAGGTTTATGATCCTTTCTCAGATGAAAAAAAATGTTTTTCAGTGCTTGTATATATGTCTGTGCATTCATGAGTGTGCTTGGTGCCTATGGAAGCCACAAGAGGGTATTGGGTCTCCTGAAACTGGATTAGCAGGTGACTATAAGCCACCATGTGCTTGCTGGGAATTGAACTCAGGTCCTCTGGAAGAGCATCCACTGGTCCGTCTCTCCAGCTCTCTTTATGAGACTTTTTTGTTGTTGTTGTTTTGAGACAGGGTTTCTTTGTTTAGTCCTGAAACTCACTCTGTTCACTAGGCTGGCCTTGAACTCACAGAGGTCCATCTGCCTCTGCCTGCTGGGTACTGGGATTAAAGGCGAGCACCCCAACTCTTGGCAAGATTTTTAAGGTGTTAATAATCTACAGAAAGTTTAGAACTGCTTCTGTCTACCATAGTCCAGTAAGAAAATCAGAGCCAGGGGAAGCTGCCCTGAGGGCTGCCAATTGGTTCTGCAGTGGCTGAGACACTCTTAGATCTTAGGTTTCTCCTCTCAAATGTTGATGCTTTCCCCATTAGAGTGCCTTTTCTTTTTTCCTTTTGAGACGGATCTCATTATATAGCCGTGGCACAATTTCGAATTCACCGTCTTAGCTTTCCCAGTGCTAGGATTATAGGCTCCCACACCTGGATTAGAATATTTTGTGGAATATTCTTTTGTATCAGCTTATTTGACCTGCTAGATGTCCAGATACATACATATGTTACATCATATGGTTTCACTTAGACCTCATTAGTTCATGCTAGTTCCTTGGTGAGTTCAACTAAGAATTGCCTAGGCTGGATGGAAGAAAAGCAGGACAGACTAACTTCAGTGGTTGATATGTTAGGCCTACCGGATGAACAAGTGCTCTGCAGATGTGGCCAGAAGAGCCGCTGAGGAGATAACTGTGCAGACAGGTAAGGGACATTTTCCTTTGTTGCACACATGAGTCATTTGATGTTCTCAACTCTTATGTGCAGTTTTACTTTAAATGGAGTTTGGCTTGGGACAGATAACCTACTTGTTTGCAGGATTCTTCCTGTAGTATCATAGAGAACCATTCAGCATCTCTCTGAAGAAACATTGTCCCCATGGATCTCTAGTTCAGGGTTTACTGTTTACCTTGCTGATACTCATAGCCTGACTTGGTAGCTGGGCACATCAGTGGGTTATTAAATAGCAACTGACTGATTTGATTTTTGTTATTATTAGAATATTTGATCTTATCCTTCTAAAGCTACCTTCCTTCCCTGTGCTTGGCTCATTTAAGCAGTGATTGTATTTTGAGCATTTGCTCATTGTAGACTACTGATGACCTGATTGACCTGATTGCTCTTCCTGGCTGACAGAAGGCTGTAGCATTAGACTCCGTCTTGCTGGGACTTGGAAAGTGGTTCTTGAAATAACTAACCTCCTGGCTAGCTGCCATCAGAACACTGCTGGTGGGAGGCTTCAAGACAGGGAAAATAGAAGTATGTCGAGCCCTGGAAGATTTGGAACTGTGAAGTTATTGCCAATAGGAAAGATGGGAAGAAATTTTTAGGAAGTTATGGAAAGCATACTAATGAAGAAGACCAAAGCAATTTACAAGGAAATCTGTTTCTGAGAGATAATGTTTAAGTTCATGGACTTGCAGAGCCCATTAACCCAACAGAGAGGTGGTCATGGGCTATTGAACTAGTTCAAAGATAAGGACATTTTCCTTACACCTATCAACACTATTATTTAGCATTGGGGAAGGTAAAGAACAATTAGGCCTGAAACCTTTTCACAGGCAGCAAAATGATTTCTTTTTTTTGTTTTTTGTTTTGTTTTGTTTTGAGGCAGGGTTTCAACCAGTGTTGCAGAAGAGGCCCTTGAAGTTTTGGTCTTCCTGCCTCTACCTCCCACATGCTAGAATCACAGAAGTGTGCTGTCATGCAGTGTATTGTAAAGTGCAGCCCAGCTTATATTACTAAAAGTCACCAAGCAATGAGTTATAAGACTCTGGTTTTGGTTTTGATATGCATGAGAGCACAACTTCCCAAGCTGCTATAGAAAGAAGTTCACTTCTGGCCTAGAGTCAATATATATTTTTTTAATGATTTGTTTGTCTTTATTTTATGTTAATTGGTGTTTTACCTGCATGTATTTCTTTGTGAGCATGCCAAATTACCTGGAACTAGAGTTACAGATAGTTGAGAGCTTCCACATGGGTGCTGTGAACTGAACATAGGTCCTCTGGAAGAATAGCCAGTGCTTTTAACCACTGAACCATCTCTCCAGCTCCGAAGCAAGATTTTTTTTTTTGGTTAAAGAGCTTACTAGAACAATATTCATTCTGCTTCATACTTGAATTTCAGGCTTTGTAATTGTTAGTTCTGATTTAATATTTACTCAGGTGAAAGGCCTACAGTGTAGTACCATAAAGCCTTTCACATCATGTTCTACTGTGAGGCGCCTTGCTAAATTCAAGACTGTGAATTTTTCTTAAGAATATGGAGAAAGTGTGCCAACACACAGCTGTAATAGAATGGGATTGCATGCAGAAATCCTTGGGTTTGAAGTTTGAGAGTTGTTTTGAATGGTTAACAGCAATAATATTTATATATCCCTTTTATTGTGTGATTTTCCTAGTCAAGAACAAATATATTAAGAGAATCTGTCTGTCATTTCAGTCACATAAAATCAAACAGCCGTATATTAGGTCAATAGAAATTTTGTTTCAAATGAATTTTGAAAAAATTAGGCTTTTAGGACTTTTTAGATTTCTGAGCTGTAGAGAATTTTATATAGCCTTATATTAAGGGAAACTTTTCCCTCATCCCCTTCTTTTTTCTTTCCTGGGGGAGTTGAACCAGGATGAATGAGTACTTCATGTGTGCTAGATCAGCATTCTACTACTAAGTCCCAGACCCAGGCTGTAAAGGGAAGCCTTTTCCTTGAGAGAAGCCTCTCCGCCAGCCTGGTTCTAGAGCCGCATCAGTCCCAAATAAACACACAGGAGGCTATATTAATTATGAAGCTGTTAGCCTTGCTTGTTTCTTACTGGCTAGCTCTCACTTAAGTAATTACCCCATAATTGTTAATCTAAGTATTTCTTTTACCGGAGAATAGTTCCGGGCTTCCTACCCCATGGTGTTACATCTTGACTCTCTGTGTTCCTCCTACCCAGAGTCCTCCTGGACTCCTTGTCCCACCTATCTAGATTCCTATTGGCCAGCAGTGCTTTATTGACATAGGACTTCCCCAACACCAGGCTTTTTTATTTTATTTTGGGATGGAGTCCCGGTAGGTAGCCCAGGTCAGCCTCAAACTCCCAGACTTGCTCTGATTCCAGAGAGCTGAAATTATGATCCTAAAGTCTGTGGATTCATACCAAAAAGTTTGAGCAACTTGTGGTTTCACATTTTTTTTTTTTTCTTTTCCCAAAGGAATCAAGAGGTTTGTGGCTGGAGCTCTGGGTCCAACTAATAAGACACTTTCTGTCTCCCCATCTGTGGAAAGGCCGGACTATAGGAACATAAGTGAGTATTCATTACATACAATCACAGACCTTGGGGAAGTGCTTCAGTAATCTACAGATAGAGAAACTGGGACCTGTGTCAAGGGCTTACTGTAGTGTCAAGGGCTTATGGTAGTGATGGTAGTGCCTGGAATACTCTAAAGGTAGCTGCTGTTCTTTTTAGAGCTTGTTTTCACCTATCCATTGTGATTTGTCAGTGCTTCCTATAAAACTAGCTGAAATAATACGTAAGAGGAAGATAACAAGCAAATTTGGATGTTGACTCTTGGTCTATTATAAAATAACTGCTATGTTGTTTCTGCCTTTCTGTCCTTCAACTTTCTGAAAATTTTTTAAGTTTTTTTTTTTTTTTTTAAGACAGGATTTGACACAGTAATTCAGATTAGGTAGCCTAGAACTCTGTCTAGCCTCTGTTGTTCTCAAATTTGTGGCAGCCTTTTCATCTCAGCTTCCTGAGTGAGGGGATTACAAGTGTGAGCCATCATGTCCTGTTTATATTACTTTTTAATTTCAGAAATCAGTCCAAATTATCTAAACATATTAGCCTTGTACATATGAATTGTTATATATAAACTTTCTTTGTTAAGATTTGACAAAAATTAAGAGTGTAATTCAATCTGCGAGCATTAATACTGTCTAAAAGATTTAAAATCCTAATTATACCATTTGTGGTAATGGATTTTGTGTAGGTGACAAGTCCAGGAGAGTACAGCTTATGGGATTTCGTTTACAGAATTGTGCATGCTGTGCTACCATGCTTCTTTTCGAAGAGTGGTGCTTCCCAGGCTGATGTGTGGTCTATGTTCTCTGAACTAGATGTAACAGTGGGAAGACTGTTCCCAAACTGAATGAAGTCAGGTGTAACAACATAGCAAGCATTGTAAGTGTCTCTATTAAACAGCTAGACATTTTTTCCTTTTGGTTTGGAGATAAAAGTAGACAGATGACTTCTCACTGGAAACAGACAACACAGGATATTTTTAACAAAATTGACCTAATAGTTAGTGAACATTAATGAGTTAGTTAAAAATTGTCTTCTGGAGAGGTGACTTCTCTGAACTGAGGGAGGGGTGAAATCCATGGGCTCATAACTTTTATTAAAGATTTAACCTGTGATGTATCCAGATCTCATTTATTGTATTGTATTTGTGTGTGTGTGTGTGTGTGTGTGTGTGTGTGTGTGTGTGTATGAGTGAAATCCAGATGAGGTTTTGAGTCACCTGTAACTGGAGTTACAGACATGTGAAGCTTCCTGATGTGGATGCTGGGTTCTCTCTGGTCCTCTGGAAGAGTGGCAAGTACTCTTAACTGCTGAGCCATCTCTCCAACCCCTAAATTCTGTTTCTTACATTTGTCTCTTAATGGGTTAAGATGATCTATGGGAAAAGTGACTGATGTGTTTATTTTAAAGATGTTGAGAATAAAGTATATAGTTCAACAAATTAATGTAGCTTCCCATTCCTGGCTCATTTGTGAGAAGTTGAGGTCACATGACAATAGTTTAGGAACCACTTTGTTGATTATTTCCTATCAATGTATTTGGTTTTTACAGAGAGTGTTGTCCTTAAACAATTTTATTTTAAGCCCCCATTGATTCACAGGTGCCATACTTGAGCTGGGCAGACTCTGGTGTCTTTCAGAAGGTTTAATTTCTGATGCGCTGGCTGTGATTTGTTTTCTGCAGCATTTGATGAGCTTGTTGAAGCTTACCAGGAGCAGGCCAAAGGACTGCTGGATGGTGGTGTTGATATCTTGCTCATTGAAACGATTTTTGATACAGCCAATGCTAAAGTAAGTGAGGGGAAGAATGGAGTGGGATGATGGAGGGGCTGTGAAGAATCTTCTATAGTTAGATGATGATAATAATAGCTACTACTTAAGTTTCTTGTGTTTGTTCCATTTTAGTCTGTCTCCAGTTGGCTCTTTGATGTGCGTATATCACCATACCTGAGTCTAGAAATAATATTTCCTTTCCTGTGATTTATGTCCTCTGCTCTTTTTTTTTTGTGTTGGATTTTAAAAATCATGTATAGGTGTGTGTCTGGGTATATGTACGTTAGTACAGATGCTCGCAGAGTCTAGATGCATCTGATACCACGATAGCTGGAGTTGCCAGTGGTTTTGAACTGTCTGATACGGATACTGGGAATCAAACTTGGGGCTTCTGGAAGAGCAGTATGTGTTCTTAACCATGGAAGTAGCAGGCACACAATTGAAAAGAATCACAGTATTGTTCTTATTGGAAACATGGGCAGCTAAACAAGAATATAAAGCACTAAAATAGTTTTTTTCCTCTTTTGGGTCTTCCATGCAGGGGTGGTGCACACCTTTAATCCCAGTACTCAGGAGACGGGGACAGGCAGATCTCTGAATTCAAGGCTAGCCTGGTCCAGGGTGGCCAGTGCTGTGCAGCGAAACGAAGTCTGGTATTAACAACAAAATAAAACAAAAAAACCAAAAAGCAACAAACAAGGAGATTTAAATGATCCTTTTTTTGTTGTTGTTGTTGTTCTGGAGAGTTGACTTCTCTGAACTGAGGGAGGGGTGAAATTCTAGTGACAGAGTCTTGCTGTGTAGCCCACGCTGACCTATAATAATTGTCTTATGGTCTGACCTCAAACTTGAGGTCCTTCTACCTCAGCCTCTCAAAGATTGGCGTTACAGGTGTGCATCATCATACCAGCATTTCATGTTATGCTCTCCATGGGGAAAAACCCTCTATTACTGGGAAAGTTCATATTAATGACAAGTTACATTCCAATTTCAGATGTGTTCATCTTCATATCAGTGACTAATGATAAAAGGAAGAAGAAGTAGAAGATCACTGCTTGGAGCTTAAACATGGACTTTTAACTGAGTGAAGTAGTTTAACAACCCAAGTTCATGATGATTTTTCTAGTGATGCACATCTTTGGTTCTTATACCTCCCTTTAATGTATGAGAAAGGCTGACCAAATACAAAGGAATTTTGTTGTATTTACTTTTATTTTGACTGAATGAGGAATGAAAGAAAAGTTAGGTCTTCAGTTCTTCAGAGGAAACAATTAATTTGTTAGGAGAACTCAGATTTCTTTCCTTTTTTTTTGGTTTTTATGAGACAGGGTTTCTCTGTATTGTTTTGGAGGCTGTCGGTCCAGCCCAGCCTCGAACTCACAGAGATCCACCTGCCTCCGCCTCCTCACAGCGATCTGCCTGTCTCTGCCTCCCGAATGCTGGGATTAAAGGCGTGCGCCACCACCGCCCGGCTTCTTTACTTTTTTTTTAATGGTCCTGGAGGTTGAACCTCAGACATTGTGCGCCATGCTAGACAGGGCTTCACTACAGAGCTCTTTGCTCAATTGAACATTTGCTAGCATGTACAGTGTTACACTTGAGATGCCATACCTGAGCATTGGTTAGCAAGTACAGTGTTACACTTGAGATTCCCTTACCTGAGCATTGGTTAGCATGTCCAGCGTTAAACTTGAGATCCCATACCTGAGCATTGGTTAGCATGTACAGTGTTACACTTGAGATCCCATACCTGAGCATTGGTTAGCAAGTACAGTGTTACACTTGAGATGCCATACCTGAGCATTGGTTAGCAAGTACAGTGTTACACTTGAGATGCCATACCTGAGCATTGGTTAGCATGTACAGTGTTACACTTGAGATTCCCTTACCTGAGCATTGGTTAGCATGTGCAGTGTTATACTTGAGATTCCCTTACCTGAGCATTGGTTAGCATGTGCAGTGTTACACTTGAGATTCCCATATGTGAGCATTGGTAAGCGTGTACAGTGTTATACTTGATATTACCATACCTGGGCATTTGTTAGCTTGTCTAGTGTTATACTTGATATTCCCTTACTTGAGTATTGGTTAGCATGTACAGTGTTACTTTTGAAGTTTCCTTACCTGAGTATTTGTTATTGAGTATGTACCATTTACACTTGAGATTCCCATACCTGACCTTTGGTTACACTTGAGATTTTCTTACCTGAACTTTGGTCAGTGTGTACAGTGTTACACTTTGGATTTTTTTTACCTGAACATTGCTTAGCATGTATAGTGTTACACTTTGGAATATCTTTCCTGAGCAACATTAGTATGTCCAGTGTTATACTTGAGATTCCCTTATCTGAGCATTGGTTAGCATGTACAGTGTTACACTTGAAATTCCCTTACCCGAACAATGGTTTGTAGATGGAAGTTTCTCTATTGCCCGGTCCTGTAGCTGTTCAGTCCCAAATAAATACACAGAGGCTTATATTAATTATGAACTGTTTGGCCTATGGTTCAGGCTTCTTATTGGCTAGCTCTCTCTTAATTATTAACCCATTTCTATTAATTTGTGTATCTCCACGTGGTCTTAGCTTACTGGAAATGCCTGGGCCTCTTTCTTCCTCAGCAGCTACATGGTGTCTCTCTCGCAACTCACTTTCTCTGTTCCTCTTCCCCGCCTCCTCTAGTCTAGTAACTCTGCCTATACTTCTTGCCTGGTTGCATCCTGCCTCTCCATTGGCCGAAACAGTTTTATTCATCAACCAAAAAGAGAAATATATATTCACAGCATACAGAAGGACATCCCCCATCATCTCCTCTTTTCTGAGTAAATAAAAAAAAGGCTTTAACTTTAACATAGTAAAATTATATGTAACAAGACAGTTATCAAGCAAGAACTATAGTTAACAATACTTAGTTCACTAACATTTGGCAAAATTTAAAGAAAATATTGTATCATCTATCCTATCTTTGTGAGTCTAAATTTTTATATGTAACTTATCTTTTATCATAACTAAGGAAAATCATAACCGTAACTATCTGTCTTCAACTGCATTGAAGACCCCAGAAGGATAGTATATAAACTCTAGAATTGACAGACATTTCACTACCTATATAGTCATTCAAAGTTTCTTTTCTATAACTTTGGAGCATCCATCTTCAGTCCATAGGCCATAGTGCCTGGCAGATGTTTGATGAAACAGGAAACTTGAAGGACCATCCTGGCAAGTTTAGCAGTCACTTTTCTTCTTAACCTGCTTGTCTAGTTTGGACAGTGTACTGTCATGCAGTCTAGGCAAGAGAAGTTTCTTTTCCAAATGGCTATCCCTGCTATATTGTAGGCAAACTCCATTATGAGTTTCTTTGATGCCCAGCTTCCTCTCTGACATAATTGGTGTTGTCAGGAGCAGTTGTGTCTCATTGTCATGAAAAACCCTAGTAAACTATTTTAAATGCCATATTTGTAGGTCTTTATAAGATTTTGAAGAATACCTATCCATTTAGAATATACCTCTGTATATCTAGAAAACCTAACGTAAGTTTTAACTATTATAGGGGACTGTAATCTGTATTTAATTGCACATTTTAAAATGAGTGGTATAAACACAATACCTAAACAAGAGTAGAAATATATTTATGACAAAATTAACCTTAAATTTGTATCAATGAACCAAAATTCATATCAATGCATGGTATTCGTTTCTATATCATATTCCCTTTTTTCTGTAAGAGATTGACTGTGGTCATTAACCATTTATAACCAACCCCTTTTAATGAAAACAAACATTTATAGACAATATTTGGGTATTTGGGTGTAGTTCTCTCCAAACTGCTTCCTGCTGTTTGGGGGTGCTGTCAATTTCAGGGGATCATGAGAAAACCCAGAACCCTAGACAAATCCTAGCTATAGTGGTCTGTGAGGGTACATCATCTCAGTTGTTTTGGATGTTGGATCACCTGGGCTGTTACTTCAGGGGTTCTTGCTTGACCAAACCTTATGTTATTCTGGAAGGAATCCACAGCTTTCCATTTTCTGTGGAAACAAAAGCAGAACCTCTTTTCCAAAGTAACATGTCCTTAGACTTAAATTTTGAAGTCAAGGCATTTTCAAAATATATAGGTTGGATTAATCCAGCAGCATTTATAATCAAATGACTTTTAACTACTGTTGCTCCTTCTTCAGGAATCAAACAATTCAAAGACAACATAATAACATAGCATCTAGACTCTCTGACTTTACATGGATTTTTAAAAAATTATTCTGTTTCTTTCTTTCTTTCTTTCTTTTTTTTTTTTTTTTTTTTTTTTTTTGCTTTTGTGTTTTTGAGACCGGGTTTCTCTGTATTTTTAGAGGCTGTCCTGGAACTCGCTCTGTAGACCAGGCTGGCCTCTACCTCACAGAGATCCACCTGCCTCTTCCTCCCAAGTGCTGGGATCAAAGGCGTGCGCCACCAACGCCTGGCCTACTCTGTTTCTTTTAGTTTTATTTTTAGAGGGTTTTTTTTTTTTGTTGTTGTTGTTTTGTTTTGCTTTTTTCTTTTTTGGGATAGGGTTTCTCTGTGTATCTTTGGCTGTCCTGGAATTCACTCTGTAGACCAGGATTGCCTTGAAATAACAGAGATCCCTCTGCTTCTGCCTTCCAAGTGCTGGAATTAAAGGCATGTGCCACCATACCCAGCTACTCCTTTCTTTTTTAAGGACTTTCTCTATTCTTTTTCTTTTCCCTCCAAGCCTATGTATATTTTTAATCACATTGTAAACCGTTTAGTTTTTTTTTCTTTTTATCTGAATCAGTCTTTACTGTATATCTCCGTCTTTTCCTGACCACATGAGTCTTAATCTACTAAACAGCGACTAGGATTAAAGTGGAGGTTTTGCCTGTTGGCCCCAATCAGTTAGGCTTTCCAGTGTGGCAGGGTATGTTTACCACGAGCTCTGGGAGCTGTGCTCATCTCCTCAACGCTGGTCTGTGCCGCCATCAAGCAGCTTGTGGCATACTGCCCATAAACCTTTTTAGTCTGTATGAGTAAAAGCTAAATCTGTCATGAAGCATGCTGTGCGGCTTGGAGACCGACTGCCTCTTTATACTGTGGCAGGAGTCCACCTTGGCTGTGCTCAAGCCCGAATGCCAAAGCATCTCTGCACTGTGCCCTTCATGTGACTGTGAGAATAGGAAGCCCTTTTTGGCTTTCTTTCTGTGCGTCCAGAACCCTTTTAAAGCTTTTGTCAGGTTTTACGTGGAAATTCTTGCCAAACATTTGGGCCCCATTTGTGGACAGAAGTTTCTGTCCTGTCTGGCCTCGCAGTTGTTTGCAGTCCCAAATAAACACAGAGGCTTATATTAATTATAAATTGTTTGGCCTATTGCTCAAGCTTCTTATTGACTAGCTCTCTCTTATTAACCCATTTCTGTTAATCTATTTATCTCCTCATGGTCTTGGCTTACTGGAGAATGCCCAGGCATCCCACTTTCCTGGTAGCCATATGGCATCTCCTCTTGACTTACTCTTCATTCCTCTTCCCAGAATCCTCCTAGTCTGGAAGCCTTGCCTATACTTCCTCCCTGGCTACATCCTGCCTGTCCATTGGCCAAAACAGCTTTATTCATCAACCAATAAGAGAAACATATATTCACAGCATACAGAAGGACATCCCCCCTCAATGGTTAATATGTACAGTGTTATACTTTGGAATCCCTTTTCTCAACATCCATTAGCGTGTACAGTGTTACACTTGATATTTCCTTACCTGAGCATTGGTTAGCATGTGCAGTGTTACACTTGAGATTCACTTACCTGAGCATTGGTTAGCATGTGCAGTGTTACACTTGAGATTCCCTTACCTGAGCATTGATTAGCATGTACAGTGTTACACTTGAGATTCCCTTACCTGAGCATTGGTTAGCATGTGCAGTGTTACACTTGAGATTCCCTTACCTGAGCATTGGTTAGCATGTGCAGTGTTACACTTGAGATTCCCTTACCTGAGCATTGATTAGCATGTACAGTGTTATATTTGAGATTCTCTTACCTGAGCATTGATTAGCATGTGCAGTGTTACACTTGAGATTCTCTTACCTGAGCATTGATTAGCATGTATAGCGTTACATTTGAGATTCCCTTACCTGAGCATTGGTTAGCATGTACAGTGTTATACTTGAGATTTCCTTACATGAACTCTAGTTAGCATATACAGTGTTACATTATGACTCTCTTACCTGAGTGTTCTTTAGCATGTACAGTGTTATAATCGAGATTCTCTTACCTGAGCTTTGTTTAGCATGTAGAGTGTTAGACTTGAGATTTCCTTACCTGAGTATTGCTTAGTATGTACAGTGTTACACTTGAGATTCCCTTACCTGAGCATTGGTTAGCATATACAGTGTTACACCTAGGATTCCCTTACCTGAGCATCCATTAGCATGTACAATGTTACACTTGAGATTTTCTTACTTGAGCTTTGGTCAGTGTATATAGTGTTATACTTGAGATTTCCTTACCTGAGCATTGGTAAGCATGTACAGTGTTACATTTGGTGTTTATTACCATACCTGAACATTGGTTATCTTGTGAAGTGTTACATTTGTGAGTCCATTATCTGAGCATTGGTTAGCATGTACAGTGTTATACATGAGATTTTCTTACCTGAGCTTGTTCAGTGTGTACAGTGTTACACTTGGTATTTATTACCATACCTGGACATTGGTTATCTTGTCAAGTGTTACATTTGTGAGTCCATTACCTGAACATTGCTTAGTATGTACAGTGTTACACATGAGATTTTTCTTACCTGAGCATTGGTTAGCATGTATAGTGTTACACTTGAAATTTTAATTCCCTTACCTGAGCATTGCTTATTATGTCCAGTGTTACACTTGAGAGTCCTTTACCTGAGTATTGGTTAGCATGTACAGTGTTACTTACACTAGAGATATCCTTAACTAAGCATTTTTTTTAGTGTGTCCTGTTTTACACTTGAGATTACCTGACCTGAGTGTTGGTTAGCATGTACAGTGTTACACTTGAGACTTCCTTACCTGAGTATTACTTAACATGTACAGTGTTACACTTGAGATTCCCTTACTTGAACATTGGTTAGCATGGTACAGTGTTACTCTTGAAATTCCTTACCACGAGCATTGCATGTATAGTGTTACATTTGAGATTACCTTATCTGTTCATTTGTTAGTGTGTACATTGCTATACTTGGAATTCCTTTACCTAAGCATTGTTTAGCATGTATAGTGTTATACTTGTGTTTCACTTACCTGAGCATTCATTATCATGTATTGTGTTACAATTGAGATTCCCATACCTGAGCCTTCATTAGCAAGTACAGTGGTCCATTGTGAATGTCTTACCTGAGGATTGTTTAGCATGTACAGTGTTACCCTTGAGATTCCCTTATCTGAACAATGGTTAGCATGTACAGTGTTATTGAGCTTGCCTTACCTGAGCATTGGTTAGCATGTACTGTGTTACACTTGAGATTCCCTTACATGAGCTCTAGTTAGCATATACAGTGTTACATTGTGAATCTCTTACCTGAGCATTTGTTACTGTGTACAGTGTTACACTTGAGATTCCCTTACTTGAGCCTTGTTTAGCATGTATAGTGTTATACTTGAGATCACTTACCTGATCATTGATTAGCATGTACAGTGTTACACTTGAGATTCTCTTACCTGAGCATTGTTTATTATGTACAGTGTTACATTTGAGATTCCCTTGGGTGAACATTGTTTAGCATGTACACTGTTACACTTGAGATTCCCTTACCTGATCTTGGTTAGCATGTAAGTGTTATATTTGAGATTTCCTTTCCTGAGTATTCATTAGTATGTACAATGTTACACTCAAGAACAGTGTTAGGCATTTAGGGAAGATTTCCTATCCTCAGCTTGGGGTGTATCCTGTCTAAAGAGGTCTGGGGAAAGGATGTGCTGATCATGCAGTTAGATTGACCTTGAACCTTTCTCAGAAATAAAGATAGTCTTGTTTTTTTGACAGGCAGCCTTGTTTGCACTCCAGAAACTCTTTGAAGAGAAGTATGCTCCTCCTCGGCCTATCTTTGTAAGTTTTTAAATATATGCTTGAGAACCCCTCTCTCTCTTAAAAAAATTCCTTTACAATTAGGGTTTTTGTGTAGGATTTTTCCCTCCCTGGAATAGTAGTATATCTTTCAGAAAATACCCTCTGTTCATCTCCCTCCTATCAATAGCTGCTTACCTCTGGAGAAATAGGAAAGAGAACTTAGAAGTAAGTGACTGATGGAGTTAAAGACCAGGTCCTATTAGGGCTTGAGGAGGGATGTGTGCCGGCCTGTGACATCTAAGGCTGCCAGGGTTTTCTTGAGTGAGTCCTCTCCCCCAGTCACTTGGCATATATCCATGTGCCAGTTCTCTCCCTCGTGAAAGAACGGAGAACTTCCCCTTGTTCATTTCTCTTTATCTTTGTGACCATATTCTTTGCCAGATTCTAAATTGTTGATCTGTTAACATTGTTACTTCAGATTTCTGGGACCATTGTTGATAAAAGTGGACGAACTCTTTCTGGCCAAACAGGAGAGGCATTTGTCATTAGTGTGTCTCATTCAGACCCGCTGTGGTGAGTGACTCTTTCTTTTGGGGCACTTTATTGGGGACTTCATAACATGGCCTTCGAGGGGCCTTGCTTTTGTGTTTCCACTATGACATTTCCATGGTGTACTGGATTTCTTCTAGTCTTTCAGACTTTGAGGACTTCAAGGCCACTGTAATGAAATGGGCCATGTTGATATCAGGAGAGTTCTCATACCTTTGCGGTAGTCAAATGTTTGCCTGTGAGTCTGCTTATAGTTTAATACTGTGCTTGGCTGGGCCTTACTTTAGGCTATTAACAGTCAATTTACATTTTCACAGCAGTGGTTACAAACGTTCTTCCCAATTTGTGGGACATGCAGAAGTATGTTGGAGTAAAATAAAGTAGGAATGTTAAAGTTCATGTTTTTATCTTTTAAGAATGGAGGGGTATTAGAAGTTAGCAGTCATGAGAAAAGGGTTAACTTATGAGAAACTATTGTTTAATGATTGGCTGTTGCCATAATCTTTGTTAACAAAGAACAATAGAATCCCATGCTATTATTAATTTATCATTTATTGAAATTTGGCTATGTGCCCTGGAATACTGGCCAAGTGAAGTAGTCCACATTAAGGAGAAACACTTCACTAAATAAGAATATAAAACATGGCTCACCAGGTAACGGTGCATGCTGCTATGGTTGGTGATCTGATTTGATCACCAAGACCCACATGGTAGGAGAGAAGCCCTCCTGAAAGTTGTCCTCTCATTTCCAGATGTGCATGCCTCCCTTGTTTTCCCGCTCCCCAAGTATAAATGGTAGGGCAGATGGTGCTGTACAGAAACAATGAAGGAAATCTGGCTGTATGCAGTGATGAGTCCTTGTAGGTTTCAGAGATGACTCTTTAGACATGGTAACATCTGAACTATGTTGGAAGACTTGAGCCAGAGTTTGCTAAGCAGAGAGACAGGATACATGGATGTATCAGAACTGGATAGTTGATAAAGAATGTCAATATGTGATGTTTCATTTGAACTTTATTAAAACTCTAAGAACTGAGTTTGTTGTTTATCTCTACATATTTGTAGTTGAAGACTGCTTGACTGGGTAACATCAACTATGGAAATGTCAAATTGGCATTGGAACTAAGTTTGGAAAACATTCAAACACAATGATTTATTTTTTATATGCTGAATCCAGGTGGCAGTGGCTGTCTTACTTTTTTGTTGCTGTGATACAATACCATGATCCAGACAATTTATAAAAGAAAGGGTATAATTTAGGGGGTACAGTTTCAGAGGGTTAGAGTTAATGACCATCAGGTAGAGAGTACGGCAGCAGGCAGGCATGGTGCTGGAGCTCCCACCTTGAGACATATCCTCTAAGAAGGGAATAATGAAAGTCTTAAGAAACCTTAAAGTCTTCCTCCAGTGACACACCTCTTTCAACAAGGCCAGACCTATACTTTCCCAGTTTCACCAACTGAAACAGTGAGCCTTGGTTGGCCATTCTCATCCATAAAACCACGGTGGCCTACAATGAAAGTTAGCAAACGTACTAGTAAAATGGCTAAACTGAAAAGGTCTGTTCATTTGTAAGTTAACCATGCATGCCCTTTTGATGTGTTTGTTTTTGAGTCAGCATCTCTTGAAGCTCAGAGTAGTCTCGGACTTGCTGTGGCAATGAGGAGGTCTCCTGCCTCTGCTCCTGAGTGCTGGGATCACAGACATTTACTATCATGCCTAGACTTGGACTTAGCTGTCTTAAGGGAGATATGAGGATCGGTTGAAAATTAGTGATCAAAGAATTATGTTTGCTTTAGATCAGGTATAGGTTTACTTAGAACAACAACAAAAATGTAGAAAGCAGAGTTTTGTATACTCCCTCCCTGTCTGTACTTCTACTAGTTTTCCCTGTTAACATCTTGCCTTGGTATTGTAGGGTATTAGTGCATTATTAATTGAATACTAGTCTACATTAGAGCTCACTTTTTTGCATTGTATGGATCTTCCCAAATATGCATTGACACATCTGCTATTTTAAGATCATCAGAATAGTTTATTCACCAAAAATCCTGGATTTCTCTTTATATTTGTACTTTTATGCATACATATTTGAATGAAAGATGATGATGCTGATGTCTGTTTACTGTTTTTTTCCAGCATTGGATTAAATTGTGCTCTGGGTGCAGCTGAAATGAGGCCTTTCATTGAAACAATTGGAAAATGCACAACAGCCTATGTCCTCTGTTACCCAAATGCAGGTGTGTTTAGGGTAGTGGGTGCACATGAAGAACTTGATATAGTAAAGTCATAGTAAATGGGGTAACATCTTGATTTGGAGAATTTGTGTTGTAGGTGTGTGTGTGTGTGTGTGTGTGTGTGCACGTGTGTACATATAGGGGAAGGGGGGAGTGTGTGTGTGTGTTTGAGACTCAACAAGAATTTTGCAAAACAAAACAAAAAAAAAAGCCTATTTGTTTTTATACCAGTGCTTCTCCTTAAACCTGAAAGAACAGTTTTGCCTAGCTTGCAGTTTGAAAATAGGGCATAACTTCAGGCAGTTAGTCTAGTTATGTCACTAACAAGAGTTTTTTCATGTGAATATAGCCAGAGAAATGCCAAAATAAGAGAGATCCCTTCTCCATTTCATTTGTTAGCAGAAAAGCATTGTGGGTAGTATTATGTGTTATGTTCTAAAAGCTAAGATTTCTAGTTGATGGCACCTAAATATTTCAAAAGTATTTGGTGATTTGTTCTGTGCTGGCCAGGTTTCCCAGTACTATTAGCTACTTAGGGCCAAAAATCATTTTCTGTACATTGTTGTCTAAATGTATACATTAAAAAATTTAAAATAATTTTATTAATATGGGTGTAAATGATCTGTATATGTGGGTGCAATTGCATGTGTGTCACTGTGCATATGGAGGATAGAGGATAACTTTTGTGAATCGGTTCCTCCTTCTGCTGTGGGTTTTGAGACTTGCACTCAGGGCATCAGGCTTGTGCCCCAAATGCTTTTATTTGCTGAGACACCTCACCACTCTCAAGTGTATACATTTAAAAAGGCATAAAAAGGATCTGCAGAGATGGTTCAGGGTTACCAAGGACCTGGACTTAATACCCAACGCCCACATGTTGGTTCACAACCATCCATAACTTCACTTCTAGGGGACCTGACAGCCTCTTCTGATCCCTGTGGGCACCAGGCCAACAGGTGGTGCATAAGCTTAAATTGAGCAAAATACAAAACTCATAAATAAATCTTAGAAAATGTATAATGTATTTTATTTCCCTCTAGTAATCAGGGGCAGTGCATGAATTCAACAAGAAACTAGATAATCAGAGGATAAAGTATCAGGTTATACTAAAGAGAGATAAACATTTACTTTAGAAACAAAAATGTCACAATTCCTAGGTAAAAGGTACTTGTGGGAAATAGTTTAGATACAATGAAACTTTTTATGCTATCTGAAATACAGTAGAAGTATTTAACTAATTTAAAGAAGGCTGGTTTTTCATTTTTTGGTCTCATTGCATGTCAGATGTTCATTAGTTCGAAGGCTGTGGGAGTATGTCTTCCACACAAGCAGTATCAATACAGAATTGTATAAATTTTAATGCACTTACATATTTGTTAAGGTAATTTTGAGTAATGATTGAAATGTTCTTTTCAGGTCTTCCCAATACTTTTGGTGACTATGATGAGACACCATCCATGATGGCCAATCACCTAAAGGTCAGGGATCCATTGATTTCAGTTTTGAAGAGACAGATACAATGTTATTTTAATTAACTTTGAGATCCAGTCTGGCTTGCCTAAGCTGCTCTTAAGCTTGCTATCCTTGTGCCTCAGCCTCCAGAATGTTGGGTTTATAGAGCATATGCCACATGTATGATGGAAGATGGTATTTGGATTAACATAATTTTCCCTCAAAATCTAGTATATAAATAACAAGATGAAGTTCAAGTACTCTGAGTTAAAGTATTGGAAGCATCAGGCAGAGTCTGCTTACTTATCTATTGACAGTGGTAGCTGTTGGAAAATTCCCAGTGAGGTCCTGCGAATTAAATGACACAGATCTCTACAATGTCCCTTCTTCAACACCATCAAATAATGACTTCCCCTCTCATTAACTTCAGACTTCTGGGTAGGTGGACTGGAGGTTCACTTAGCTGCCTCTCTTGACTGTACTTGCCATCTTTGAATCATGAGACTTACCACTGCTGTTGCTTAGTGCAGCCATCTAGTGATGCCTCCATTTGTCTTCAGTTTTTGAGTTTTCAGGTCCAGGCTCACTGTTGCTTTCTCTTGTTTCTGAGTCAGTTCTTATGATTTCAGTATCCCCCCCCCCCTTTTTTTTTTGTTTCCATTGAGATAAGGTTTTGCTACAGTCCAAACTCATGATTCTCTGCCTCAGCCTTCTGAGTGCTGAGATTATCATTTCAATTATCTTAAGTAGATAGTCTTGGTGTTCTGCTGCTTTCCCAGCCTCTTTACTTTATCTCATTTTTCGCTCACTAGCCTCTGGTTGTTCCAGACCATGCTGACAGTGTGGCGCCTTACCCGTGTGTTTGATGGGACACTTGAAACATGGCTAATGTGACAGGACTTTCAGTTTTTATTTTAAAAAGTTTAAATTAAATCGAAAAGCTGATACTCATGCTACTTGAAAATGTATTATTTATTCTGGTCATATGGGTAAAATGCTGTTTCATTTCATCAGGTAGGCAAATAAAATTTCTCTTGTGTTTCAGATAGCATAGAAGGTTTCATAGTATCTGAACTATGTCCATGTGTGTCTTTTACTTAGGGCTTGTAGCTTTTTTTAATCTAAAGTAAATATGTTTATTTCTCTTTAATATAATTTTAGTTATTCAGAAAATATACAAAGCAAATGCTCTCATGCTGAGTTTGTTTTGGTGAATTTAGAATTCAGTGAATTTACTTTCCCTAAGTACAGGACTTTGCTATGGATGGCTTGGTGAATATAGTTGGTGGCTGCTGTGGTTCCACACCCGATCATATCAGGTAATGGTTACCTCTTTTTTCTTGCCTTAAAATTTGTTTGGTTTTATTTATTGATAATTTTTAATGATATTTTTATTAATTTTTGGAGAATTATATACATGTACATAAATTATTTACTTCCTAGTCCTCTTCTTCATGTGCCTTTGAGATAGGGTCTTTCTTGCTATGTAGCTCATACTAGCCTGGTAATAGATGTGTGTAGGTAGCCCAGGCTGACCTTGACTCAGCCTCCCAAGTCTTCTGGGATTCTAGCATATACCACCTTGTCTGGGGTTTTATTGTGTGTGTGTGTGTGTGTGTGTGTGTGTGTGTGTGTGTGTGTGTGTGTGTGTGTGTTTCCAGGTGTCTACAATGGATAGAAGGAATACTGGATTTCTTGGAGGTAGGGTTACAAGTATTTGTGAAATACCCAGTTTTGTGAGTACTGACATTTGAGCCATTTTCATAGCCCCTTTGCCCTCTTCTCTTCTCAAGACAGGGTCTCACTGTATAGCTCAGACTGGCATAGAAGGCCTTAAACTCTTGACACCTCCTGCTTGAGCTTCCTGAGTATTGAGAATGCAAATGTGAGCCTCTTTGCCCCTCTTAATATTCCCTGTGCTTGTCAGCTAAATTGTTTTACCCACAAGTTAGTATGTTGAAGTCTTAACCTTCGGTACTTTGAATGTGACTGTTTGGAGGTGGGCCTTTAAAGAGTGGCAGTTACAGGAACAAGTGGATCTGTGCATAATCCTTCACAGCCAGTGTCCATGCAGGATAAAAATACAAATGAACAGGTGCAGGGAAGGTCGTATGAAAGACACAAGAAGTCAGCAATCTGCAAGCTGCAGGAAGAGCCCTTAGAAGAAATATCATCAGCACCTCAGTCACGCACTGTCTACTGATGTGAGAAAATCAGTTTCTTTAAGTCACATTGCTGTGGCAGTAATATTGCTTCATATTGTGAAAAACACAAGTAAAAGTAGCTTTATATTAAGAAACATTCTGAAAGTCAAAGTAGTACAGAAAAATTACAGTGAGCTGTCATGTGCCTATCACATAGCTACATAACTTTCAGTTTTACCATTGTTACGTTGTCTGAACTTGAAGTTCTTCCTCTGGAATATTGTAAATTCCATGTAAGACTCTACCTGGAAATAGTAATTTGAATGCTCCCAGAAGGACAGCACATGCCTCCTACAGAGAAAAAGCAGTTGGGTGACCAGCATCTTATGGACCTCCTTGGTCCTATGCAGTCATTGCTTACTCATGCTTTCAAGGGCTATTTGAGGGAAGGAGTGAAATGACAGTGCTCTTATGGATACGTTTATCTGTTTATCTTTATAATTGGTGGCTCTCAGAAAGATTGGAGTTCAGTCAGAGGATGTAGCTTAGGACTCCGCCATTTTCCCTAGAGTCAGCAGGGATTGTGTTTTCAGCCTGTCCATACTGTCCCATGTATGTGCACATAATGTATTTCTTTAGCTGAGTTACCCATAATTTTTTTTCCTGTTTTCTTGACTTCTCTGACAGAAGTTTTGGCTGGAACTTCCTGTGTAGACTAGGCTGGCCTGGAACTCACAATAGGTCTGTCCGCCTGCCTCTGTTTTCTGAGGGCTGGGCTTAAAGGTGTGTACCTCTACACCTGGCTTCTGTGATAGACTTTTTTTTCTGTGACCATTTGTATATACCTTTTTTTTTCCGTACATTCCTATCCCAGTTCCCCCTCCCTCCTCTCCTCCTTCTCCCTCCACTTCTGCCCTCCCATCTGCTCCTTGGAGAGGGTAAGGCCTCCCCTAGGAAGTCTACTAAGTCTGTTATGATAAACTCTTAATAACTATAGAGTTATTACTTATTTGCCAGAGTTTTGCATATGCTCAGCATCTACTCTAGTGCACTATACCTGCATCTCTATTTTTTAATACCTTTTTTTTTTATGTTACATCTTCACCAGTAGTTGTAGTATCTTATCTTTGGATCATATACTGACTCTTCATTTTTTAGTTTCCTTACTCTTTAGAAAGAGAAGTTGTTTTAACTTGTGTATATGTATGTTGATATCTATACCTGTCTGTATAACTCCTGCTTTTACTTAGTCATCCACATACTAATTAGGGAACAGAGAGTGAGCAGTATCTACAGGCCCTGATAAATAGAGAAAGCTAGATTTTTATGGTTTATCAAACACATGATTCATTAAAGTTGACAATGTTAAAGAGACGGTAGATAACTGAAATACATTTTCAGGAACAATTGTTTTTTTTCTCTGTCCCTTCCCTGTTGAGTACACAGGACCATCCTCTCCCCAGCAGCCCCCCTCTCCCATTTCTGTTATTTCTCAGAGCTACAGACTTCTTTTTAAAGTTGCTAAACTGCTGATTAGGTAGCAAGGACGTGCTTTGTTTGTGGGTTTGTAAAGGCTGTCTGTGGGCTGGGGGAAGGGAAAGAGATTTGCAGTTTGTATTTGTGCAAACTCACATAGCAGCTCCAGGCTCATGTCTGGCAGCAGACACAGCAAAACCAGCATTGATGAGCATTCTGTTGCTGAGGAAACTGAAAAATGTAACTGCTGCTGTACATTTAAGTAGGCATATCATTATGTTCATGGGTAGATTGATACAATTTCATAGCTGGAAATTAGCTTAATTAAACTTATGTTACTCTGAATTAATGAATATAGTGTTTTCTCTTTTAATTTAGGGAAATTGCTGAAGCTGTGAAAAATTGTAAGCCTAGAGTTCCACCTGCTAGTGTTTTTGAAGGACATATGTTACTATCTGGTAAGTCCTGAGGATGTAGTTTTTTATTTAAAAACCAATTGTAGGATGTATTTAACGTGCATATATCTAAGTGGTAGTGATAGTTGTGTTAGAAAGTTTATTAGATCAAAGAAGAGTGCCTTTTTTTCCCTTGGCACTTAGGGAAATTTTACTAAAGAACTCTGTTTTTCTAGGGATGGGATAGAAAGATTGATTTCAGAGTAAAATGAAGGAAAGCTAGGTGATTTGCTCATGTACTTCCCTTGTTTCCAATGAATCTGTGGACTTGTCTTTGCTGCACAGTGATAGCATACCTTTGTCCCTTGCCTAACAATGTTAATGTTGATAGGAATTATTGAAAATTCCAAATGGCTGAAGCCTAGTGCTTTGTAATGGCCACAGTATCTTCCTGGAATATTTTATTTGCTTCCAAATATTGTTAGAATCTTGCATTTGCCATTTGTTTGGGACTTTATAATTATTTGTATATTTATTTTCTGTGTGTTTTTTCTTTCTTTTCCTTTTTTTCTTTTTTTTTTTTTTTTTTTTTTTTTGAGATAGGGTCTCTTTATGTAGCTCTGGCAGTCCTAGAACTCATTTCGTAGACCAGGCAGGCCTCACATTCAAAAGTCACAGGGATCCACCTGCCTCTGCCTCCTGAGTGTTGGGATTACAGGTATGCATCAACATATTATTTTATTTTATTTTTTTCCTGAAATGCTGGTGTATTAAGTTAGGTCTTGGTGTATAGCCAAAGGCCACCTCAAACTAATAATCCTCTTGCCTACTCTTTCTCAGAACTAGGATTACACGTATGTACCACCATGTCCAATCTGAAAAACACTTTGTTATTGCGTATATAAATGGTATCCAAGAAAAGTATTGCTTCTGCATCTTATTCATCCTTCCTGCTAGATTAGAAGCACTTTGTAAATGCCGTTAGAGCATACAAGCACCCCTAGCATACATATAGTGGTTGTCATCCCTATTTGTCTTGTACACAAACCTCCAGATTACTTGAAAGGTCAGGGGCACAAGGCTCATTAGCAATGAGAAAAGTCAGAACTTGAAACTGTAGAAGCGATTGCTTCCTGAGTCTGAACAAATGGCCTGGAATATCTGTATAATTACCCAGCCCTTTCATAAGCTTCCTCTTGCTCATATTAGCTTCTTCGTGTAATGCTTTGGCAAAGAACCCAAAGACCATTTTCTTTTTTAATGACAGCTCTGATAGCTGATGCTAATTTTGTGCTTCATTTTTATGATAATTAAGGTAGAGATTATACCTGATTTGTAAGCAGAAATGTTGTGTGGGCAGTTGTCCCAAGTTTGTGATTATGCAAGTGATGAGCGCAAGACTATGTGTCTCCAGAACCTTCCTGTGGCTAGTCAGGGAGACTGCTTCTTATAGTACTTTAAAAACAAAGGCAGTTTGACAATCTTCTCTACAGTCTCTTCACACTCTGTTGCTTTTAACTTGAGTATAATGCATTTACATGTATTATTTGATACTCCATCTCTGAATTAGCCTGTGCCAGGAAGATGCTGCTATTCCTTAGCAAATAAGGCAGTAATATGCCAAAAGCCTAGTGGCCTGCCTTCGGTACCTCACACTGGAAGACCTGCCACAGTGACTCCTGGATCCCCATCTGGATCCTCCTCCCTCACCATTCATTTTGGAAGTGCTAGTTTCAGGCTCATGGTCTCTCAGTGAAAGAGATGGAATGATCTTCCACCCTCACTGTTGCTGTGACCTTCAACACTCACTGTTGATGGGGTGAAGAGATTTGTTCCATGTAGCTGCAAGCTAATTTTTGATAAAACAGCAATGGAAGAAAAAAAATTAAATAGAATTTTTGCAGCATAGCATATCCTGGCTTCAAAGTCCTACAAGCTACAGAGCTCTGGGGCTACAGTCATGAATCACCATGTCTGATTCAACAATCCTTTTTGTTTGTTTATTTTTTCAAGAATGGATTTCTCTTATAACTCTGGCTGTCCTGGAACTCGCTTTGTAGACTACCAGGCTGGCCTTAAACTTACAGAGATCCACCTGCCTCTGCCTCCCAAGTTCTGGGACTAAAGGTATGTACCACCACTGCCTGGCCAACAGTCCTTCTTTTAGTTTTTATTTTTACAATATTTTTTATTCTTTGAGAATTTTGTACAATGTATTTTTAACATATTTACACATATCCCAACTCTTCCAATAACTACCTTTTCTACTCTGCCATCCCTCCCTACTTAATTTTAGCTTTCTCCCTGTCTTAGAGTTTCTGTTGCTGTGAAGAGAAACCATGACCATGGTAGCTCTTATAAAGGAAAACATTTAACTGGTTAGCTTACAGTTGAGAGGTTCAGCCTGTAGGAGTGAACCCCACAAAGCTATCCTCCCATGAGGGCGGGGACATGTAAACTGACACAGGTAGATTAAAAGGAAGTGAAAGGAAAAGGAACCTCCCTTTTCTCCTGGAAGCCAGCCACGCTTCTAACTCCTGGTTTGTGCGACTCTCTCTCTCTCCCTGGTAAATAAATATATTGTTTTCCATATAGCATCGAATATCATTGATATCAGCCCATTATCATCATGGTGGAATATGGCAGCATACAGGCAACATGGTGCTGGAGAAGGAGCTGAGAATTCTTCATCTTGATCCTTGGGCAACAGGAAGTGAACTTAGATAGTAGGTGTATCTTGAGCATAGGAAACCAGAAAGAAAGCCTGCTTCCAACAAGGCCACACCTACTCCAAAAGGGCCACACCTATTCCAACAAAGCTACACCACGCCTCCTAATAGTACCACTCCCAGTGAGCTTATAGGGTCCAATTACATTCAAACTACCATACTACTAGCCTGCCAAGGCCAGTTGGTGTTGCACAAAGACCCACCTACCTCTGCCTCCCAAGTGCTGGGATTAAAGGCATGTGCTACTTTTGCCTGGCTGCACATGGATTTTGAAAAGAAAAGTGACACACTCTATTTCCCTTTCCTTCCCTATCTTTCTGTTTTCCTATTTCCTAACAGCTATCAGATGCCAATAGCTTCTCAGCTCATGGTAGATTTTGTGCTGTACATGTTCCTATCCCAATGCTTAGGAATTTTCAGGGGAAAGTGGGGCAGAAAGTTGTGGGTAGTATCAAGAAGCAAGATTTTCCAGACACAGCAGATTTGTTGCACATATGAAGTCACAGTAGTTGGGGCAGCATGCATAAGACCTTACTCAAACTCAGTCCTTTTTTGATTTGAAGGTTCTTCATGGTTTTGCCCTAGAACCTTAGTTAAATAGGAATGATGGTGATTTTGTCTTTTCAGAGACTGTGTGGCTCACCTTACTGTGGATATTTGCAGCACAGAGCTCTGATGTGTTTCTTCTCTTGGGAGATCTAGTTTTAAGCACATTTGAAACAAGTAGCCTTTCAATGTTCAAAAAAGAAGAGTGTGATCCTGTTTCCCTATCAGATCTCCTGTCCCATCTGCTCAGATGGGCTTTGACCTTCTTGCCGAAAATATTTTGTTTCTTGTTATCCATGTGCATTTTCAAGAAATTTTCAAAATGCTTTTCCTTTTAAGGTCTAGAGCCCTTTAGGATTGGACCATACACCAACTTCGTTAACATCGGAGAGCGCTGTAACGTGGCAGGATCCAGGAAGTTTGCTAAACTCATCATGGCAGGAAACTATGATGTGAGCATCCTAACGAGACCTCTGAGGCATTGCCATTCCTCTGGGTAGTCTACATGTCAACAAAGTGTGTTTGTTCTGGCTGGTACTACTGCAGAACTGCTAGGAAGTATACGCAGGTGCTGATGCAGCTGTCAGTGGGTGGGGCTGCTGTGATGATAGGCTTTGAAGACTTGAAGCTGCTGTTGTTGTCATTGGTCAGAAAGCATTACATGGGGCATGGGGTAAGATGACTGGGAGGGATTCAGCTTCTAGTTGTTGATTGTTCAGTAACTTTGGATATTTGGGAATACTCTCCATTTTGGCCTCAAAAGCTGTTCTATAGTAGGTGAAAGCCAAAAGAATCCCATTGTTTTGAATTACATATTATGTATATAATCATGGATGTACACATGTATGTGTACCATGTATGTACCTGGTGTCCACAGAGACCAGAAGAGGATATTGGATTCCCCAGGAGATGGAGTTGTAGGTGCTTGTGAACTGAACCCAGGTCTTCTACAAAAGCAACGAGTATTTATTGTTTTACTTTATTTTTCAGGACAGGGTTTCTTTGTGTAGCCCTGGCTGTCCTGGAACTCACTCATTAGGATAGACTGGCCTTAAACTCACAGGGATCCACCTGCCTCTGCCTCCTGAGTGCCTGGATTAAAGTGTGTGCCACCACTGCTTGGCAACAAGAGTATTTTTAATTACTGGGCCATCTTTGCCCCTCCCAAAGAGAATTCTTACTCATCTGACACATTAGATACTTACTGAGGAAGGTATTGCTGATCCTGTTAGCTGTAGGTTAGAACAAAATGAAAGGCCCCTGCCTTGAGAAATCTGCATTTATAAGTGTAAAGAGAAGCCTTTTCCTTGCCAGCAGCTTTGGTTTATCCCCCGCCAGTCTCCTGGGCTCTGTTGCGTTGTAGTCCCCAAATAACACACAAGACGCTGTATTAATTATGAAGCTGTTGGCCTTGCTTGTTTCTTACTGGCTAGCTCTGACTTAAGTATTTACCCCATAATTGTTAATCTAAGTATTTCTCTTACTGGAGCAAAGTTCTGGACATCTTATTTCTCTGGCGGGCTACATCTTGACTCCCTGTGTTTCTCCTACCCAGAGTCCTCCTGGACTCCTCGTCCCACCCATCTTGCTTCCCTATTGGCCAACAATGCTTTATTGACATATACACAAGACTTCCCCCATATAAGCTGTGTAATATTGTAGATGTGCATGCCCAAGACATCTGGATAGATTTTACTTTTCTACAAATATGAAAAGAAATAGAGGAAGATGGTTTGAGGGTTTTTGTTTTGTTTTTGTTGTTTTTTCCTGTGGCTTACTGTTTTTTTTTTTGGGTCCCAGTGGTGGTAGTGTATGCTTTTAATCCCAGCACTGATAAGGCAGAGGCAGGTGAATCCCAGCCTGGTCTATAAAGCGAGTTCCAGGACAGTTAGGGCTACACAGAGAAATCCTGTCTTGAAACAAAACAAAATTTGTGGTGACGTATTATTTATGATTTGCTCTCTGAGCACTCTGGAGGGTTGCTCTGCCATCATGCCTTGGCTCTTGCTTGTACCTTTTGAAGTACTTGTGCCCCTTAATAATCAGTTGGTGTTTGTCAGTTGGCAGAGGAGCTACTTGTATGTTGATTCTTTTGTCTATTCTCTGAATATCTATTTTAGCTTTGAAATTTGATGGTCTCCTTAGTGTGGGCAGAGAATGCTTTAGTAGGAGGTACACAGGTAGACATAATATTAAGATTTTATGTGCCCAGTCACAGTGCTAAGCACCTTATATCTCAGTAAACTTGCACAGTCCCATGAAGTCAAACTGCTTGTTTTCACCTTTCTACAGATGTGATAATGGAGAGTTGGGGAGGTTAAAATTATTAGTCTGTTGTTACATAGGTTTGAGAGAAGGAAGTCTTGAAGCTCACGTACTTAACTGCCCTGTGGTCTCTGCCAGGGGGACCTGTAGGGGAATGCAGTTGAAGTGGGGGTGAGGGGCACAGATTGGGTAGATGAGTTCTTTATAGGATCTAGATTTCCCTGACTTTAGAACCTTCAAGGTCCTTTGCTTTGAAGGGGAGAGCACTGATAGAGCAATGTTAGATCTGATATCTTGCTCTTAAAGGAATGATGCCATGACCCTGAGCTATTTTGGGAGCACTCTACTGTCAAGTACTTGTTCTGTGACTGAAGTAGGTCAGATACTGGCATTTCTGTTTCCTATGTCTTTGGAACCTCTGTTGATAACCTCTGTCTCCTCTTTGCTTCCTCCCATCTATTCCTCCACTGGTGGGATGAAGACTTACCCTCTCAGTATACACCACCTCTGTTAAAGTTGGTCAGTTTTCATCTCTGACTCAGACAATCTTGGTATTTGATCCTCACACTGGTATCAGTGCTTGTTTGGGTTGTTTTTCAATGTGACAGTATTGTGAGCCTCCAACTAGATATAAGCCCTTCAAGAGCAGGGGTTGTGACATACCTTTTTTTATTCCTTATACTATTTAAATCATCCCTGTTACTAAAAACCACCTCCTTCTCTCCTGTTGGAAGGGCAGAACCCAGTATCTCAGGCTTGCTAAGCAAGTGCTATAGCCACTGAGCTGCAGTCCCAGCTCTGTCTCCCTGCTTGCTACACACACACACACACACACACACACACACACACACACACACACACACACACACATCTAGGGCCATGAGTGTGCTAGATAAGCACTACCACCAAGCTGCAGCCTAAGCATCTGAATTCTATTTTTAGACCGTGTTAATGTATTCCTGGCTGATCTCAAACTCAGAAACCTACCTCTGCCTCTCCAGTGTTAGAATTAAAAGTGTGTACTGCTATGCCCAGCCTGGAAACCATTTGTAGTTTGTACTTTTTTGATCCTTTGGGTTGGGACTGTAGGATGAACCTTTGGGTTGGGACTGTAGTTCAGTGGTAGAGCTCTTAGTTATCCTCGTTATCCTTTTTTCTCTGTGTAGATTTTTCCTCCCTGTTTTATCACAGTGAATGGCAAAATTACTTCTGTGGTTTTCTTTGGGGGGCGGTTAAAGAAAAATCAGGCTACAGTAGCATCTATTATTGATTTTACTCATTTATTGGGCTACAGGGCTATAATGCAGATTCAAGCAAGTGTCTATGTTACACTAGAAAATGCCATTGAGGGCCTAGAGAGATGGTTCAGTAGCTAAGAGTATGTACTGTTTTTGCAAAGGACTGCCCATTTGGTTTCCAACACCCACATAAGCCACAAAGGCACCTCACTTTCCCTTACACCCTCTACTGGCTTCCATGGGCACCTTTATGCCCATGGCATATACTCATACAGACACACGTTCATATGCATAATGAAAATAAATCTTTACAAAATCTTTATCTATGTTGAGAAATATTGAAGGAGTAAGTTAGTTTGGTCTAAAGACCTTTCTTGAAGGAGCTAGACTTGAGCTAGGTTTGAACCAGTGTGGAGAGGTAGGAGATTAGGTTGCTTGCAATGATATTATGTGATCTGTGGCACAGAGGTGACACTTGGCTGGGTAGAGTGTCCAGTGAGGACCAACGAAGAAAGACATATGAGTGAGACAGGGTTGTAGGCTTAGAGGCTCAGGAGTTTAGATCCTTCATGGTTAGAAGCTACTTTGGTGGACTCCAAGCAGTGAGATGCTGTGTGGATAGGGTGAGTGTTGGGGAGTAGGGGACAGGCCCAGAGTTAGAGAGCCAACATATCTATTTCAGTAACAAAGGACCTCTGAGGGTGGGAGGAAAATCATCGTCTCTTAACCATGCTTCTCCCATTCCTCCTTTAGGAAGCCCTGAGCATTGCCAAAGTACAGGTGGAAATGGGAGCTCAGGTGCTAGACATCAACATGGATGATGGCATGCTGGATGGTCCCAGTGCAATGACCAGATTTTGCAACTTTATTGCCTCCGAGCCCGACATCGCCAAGGTTGTACAAGTTTATAATCATCAAGGGGGTTTACCCAATTGCTGTCGTTCATTTATTTAGCCTTGTCTGTCCATTCAGGAACTTCTGTTTTCCTGCATTGACAGTTGTGTTGTTTCTGATTCTGAGCTTTCTTATAATAAGCAGTCTGTTCCACCTGAAGTAGATTTTAGAGAGTGATTGGGCTTGGCTGTTGACAGACCTTGAGAAGTAATTTCAAGAGAACTGAGTTTTTCCATTGTCTGCAGCCTATCAGATTAAGACAGTGATGTCTAACAGGGTTTATTCAAGGTATCCTGTCAGTGTTTATACTCTTCTTCCAAAGGGGAAAGTTAGGAATTGAAGAAATGCCTCAGTAATTAAAAGCATGTACTGCTCTTGTGGAGGACCTGGGTTCAATTTTCTGTACTTACTTCTGGTAGCTCACAACTGCCTACTAACACCAGCTCCAGGGGATCCAACTCCTTCTGCCTCCAGACAGATACCTGCATTTGTGTGTACAGACCTCCAGACAGACACCTGCATCTGTGTGTAGAGACCTCCAGATAGACACCTGCATCTGTGTGTACAGACCTCCAGATAGACACCTGCATCTGTGTGTACAGGCCTCCAGACAGACAACTGCATATGTGTGCACAGACCACCAGACACCTGCATCTGTGTGTAGAGACCTCCAGACAGACACCTGCATCTGTGTGTACAGACTTCCAGACAGGCACCTACATCTATATGTACAGACCTCCAGATAGACACCTGCATCTGTGTGTAGAGACCTCCAGACAGACACCTGCATCTGTGTGTACAGACTTCCAGACAGGCACCTACATCTATATGTACAGACCTCCAGATAGACACCTGCATCTGTGTGTAGAGACCTCCAGACAGACACCTGCATTTGTGTGTACAGACCTCTAGACAGGCACCTACATCTATGTGTACAGACCTCCAGGTAGACACCTGCATCTGTGTGTAGAGACCTCCAGACAGACACCTGCATTTGTGCATATAGACTCCTAGACAGACACATTTAAAAATAATAATAAAAAAATTTTACTTGTTTTTGAGCAGGATCTTCCCGTGTAGTCCTTGCTGACCTAGAACTCACAAAGATCTGCCTGCTTCTGCTGTATCAATCTTTTAGAATGTTTTAGAGGGTTCAAGCTAAACCTTATTTGTGTTTGTCTAGTGTAGGAGCCAGTTGGCTTCAAACTCATTAAATAGCCAGGTTGACCTTGAATTCCAGCTGTATCCACCCTGGTGTGTACATGCCCCGAAGGACTTCTAAGGGTTTTTTGTTTTAAAGAAACTGTTTCCAGAGTTGTATATCTTTAGGTTGAACTGTCTTTTTTTTTTTTTAATTAGGCTTTTGTAAGAATTTACTTATGAGAAGCCTGCAGTAAGCATTAAATTATATTTACCTATCACCATCTGCATATTAAACGTTGTTGAAAGTCCTTCCAGTTTTCTAGGAGTAAATCTTTTGATACCGTCAGGTTCAGAGCAGCTCTGGTCTGTTCAGAGTCAGTGTGAATCAGAGCTGGGGGGAAGAAATCTGGGTCTCCTTAGAGCCAAGCATACTCCTCTTCATCTCTAAGGTGAGGTGATGAGACCCACTGTGTTCAGTATATGAATTGTGATGATGAGCTCTTGTTAACTGTGAAGAACCTATGTGCTGCAAAGAACTTCTTACTTGGTGTTCTGAGTGCTGCACCAAATGCCTTTTCTTTGCTGGTTTTAATGGACTATTAAATTTTCTAGACATTGGGTGTCCTTTAATCCTAGCACTCAGGAGATAGAGATAGGCTAATCTCTATGAGTTCGACTCCAATCTGATCTACAAAGTGAGTTCTAGGACAGCACACAGAGAAACTTTGTCTGGAAAAACAAAAACAAGCAGACAAACAAAAAAAACTGAACAAAATTTACTGGAGGACAAATTTTAGTCATTAGGATAGAATATAAAAATGTGCTGCTAAGCAAAGAGGCTAAGGCAGGAACATCACAGCTGGAGACCAGCCTGGGCTACATAGTAAGACCCCAAGACGCTGACTTTAAAGACCCAAAGTATGAGTAGTACATTTCACCAGTAGAGTTGGAAAACCAAATTATTTGTCAGCTTTTTCAGACACTGGCCTGGTATTTACTGCCATTGCCCCTTTTTGGGGATAAACCTCTTTATTACTAGTATAATAAAAGCAAAATTGGACGAGTCCTTGTGTTTTTAAATAGTGTCTTACATCTTACACTGGCCTGGAAATCACTATATAGTTGAGGATAGCCTTGAACCTCTTATTGTCCCACCTCCATCTTCCAAGTGCTAGGACTAGGCTTGTGTCAGCAGTTTGTGAACTGAGGACATCTGCAAATGCTCTGCCAACAGTGCTGCTTTCCTCCCCTCCCCTCCCCAACTCTCCCTTTAAAACAATAATTTTTCCTGTGTGTTTGTGGTATTGGGAAGCAAAACCAGGGCCTCACTCGTCAGACACACTGATGCTGAGATAGACCCACCCCTAGCTTCCTTGCTCTTTGTGTTGTCCTTAATTCTAGCCTTTCGTGTACTTTCGTCCTTATTTCTTTAATCATTTATCTTGCTAAACACGGTGAAGCCAAGGACCTGTTTGCCTTAGAGGGATGGAGTCAGTTACTGACTGACTGCCCTAAATAATAGTCCTAAGTCAGCTATCCTGCCATATTTATTTCTTTGTGGCAGTGAATAATTCCTTTCACTTGTTTTGGAGCAGAGACTGGATTAGACCATGGTCTCTCATGTGTTCATTTTAGTTGTTTGTTTTGGTTTTAGCAATTACTATTTTGGGGAGGGGTTAGATCTGTTTTTCCTAATAATTTTTTTTCCTGCTCAGATATTTGTTTTTATAAAGAAGAGATTTAATTTGAGTACGTTGGCCAGAGGGATCTTTCCAAAGAGCAAGATAAGAGTCTGGGTAGAATGCTTGAAAACCAGAGAAGGTGTTTGCCTTAGGGTTTAAGTGCTTGGAAGTGTACACTAGGCCTAAGCCCATGAACTCTTCTCTTGGATTCCCTGCCTTTGAGTTATAAATCCTGGTCCATGTACATATTCTCTTGTGAGGTGATCTTACTCTAAATATTTGAACTTTAAGCTTAAGTAAGTATATTAAAATCTTATTTTTAACACCCCAGATTTATTTATTCCCTAAAGGAAGGTTTTTTTGGAACCATTCAAAGGGGACTTGTGGTGACTTGTGACCTGTGACCTTTTCTGTCCTTCTGTCTCAGGTGCCACTGTGCATCGACTCTTCCAATTTTGCTGTGATTGAAGCTGGACTGAAGTGCTGCCAAGGGAAGTGCATCGTCAATAGCATCAGTCTGAAAGAGGGGGAGGAGGACTTCTTGGAAAAGGCCAGGAAGATTAAGAAGTTTGGAGCTGCTGTGGTGGTTATGGCTTTTGATGAAGAAGGACAGGTAAGTGGTTTCTGTTGACCCGGTACTGTTGTCACCTAGGTGAGAAAGCAGTGGGAGAAAACCAGGTCTGAAATAGCTGTATGTATATGTACACAAACCTGTACAAATGCTTATCTGTGCACACAAATTTACACATACATTCATAATATACTTCTGAAATTTGATACTGTACATTCTTTATGTCAATAGGGAAAGGTTAAATTATTCACTGAGTTGCTGGGGCAGACAGGTGGTTTTGCATTTGGAAGAAAAAGAAATAAAAAGTCCTGACTTAATTCATTTTGTGCTGCTGTAGTGGAATACTGATATCTTAGTTACTTTTCTGTTGTTATAGCAAAACAACCATGAACCAAGCAGCTTAAAAAGAAATCAGTTTGGGGCTCATGATTACAAAGGATTGGATGGAGCTCATGTCTTTCATGGTAAAGAGGCCCCCCCTTTCAAAAGCCCACACTTAGTGACACTCCTCCTTCAACAAGACCACACCCCCTAATCCTTCCCAAACAGTTCTTCCTACTGGGGACCAAACATTCAAACTACCACAACCACAAATTTGGTAATTTTTAAATAGTATAAATTTACTTGGCTCACAGATATGGAGGCTAAAAAACTGAGAGTTTTTTGGTTACTTTGCCCCTTGTTGAAGGGGCAGAGAAAAAGTGAGGAAGAGCATGAGATGGTGGGACTTGCTTTTATAACAAACCAACTTTTTGGCAGCGAGCCCATTCCTTTGATGACAACATTGTTTTGGGAGAGCCCTCAAACCTAGTCACCCTTCTCCCACTTGTAACTTTATTTTATTTGAGAGTGTGACGTCTGCATCGTATGCATGCCTAGTATAGTTGTCATAAGAGGAGTTGGACCCCCGGATCTAGAGTTATGGGCGGTTGTTGTGAGCTGCATGTGAATGTTGGGAACTAACCCTAGGTCCTCTGTACGAGCAGCAAGTGCTCTTAACTGCCCAACCTTCTTCCCATCCCTGCTAGGCACCTCTTAAAGGTCCCACCACTCAGCACTGGCTCCATGTCTTACTGTATACTAAAATAAAACAAAAAAATGAATGATTGAAATGTAAAGGAATTCTGAAAAATACATAGATCATTATTATTCTCATACAGAAGCCGTTGCTGATCTCAAGATATGAAAAAGAAAATTGATGAATTTATTCACATAGAAATGTAAAACTTTATGTGGCAGAAGATATGGTACAATTAGTAAGTTAATGTAGTTTCTGTAAGTCGGAGAACAGAATGCCCCTAACAGAATGGACAGAGGAATTGAATGGGCAGCTAACATAAGAGTACAAATAGATGATGAGTCTGTGAGAATATACCACTATTTCTAATGCTTAAGGGATAGTGAAGCAGTAATTAGTTTCTTTCATCAGAAAAACGACGACAAGATTGATAAATGGCATCTCACACCTGTGCTGCAGAGCCAGGTTGAGGCCATGGAAGCTGTGCATATCCCTGGTGATACATATGCAGTGGTCCTGCAGTGCTGCTCTTTAAAGGTCATATAGCTAGGTTTCAGAAGAATGTAAGTGTCCATGGGTTAGTTAATGGATAAGTGGGAAAAATTCCAGTGCTTATGGTGAAACCTCTCCTGAGATCTTAAGATTGATTGTGTATGTAAGGCTACGTACTCACTTCTTTTTTTTTTTTTTTTTTTGTGCTTGTTTTTCAAGACAGGGTTCTGGGATTTAAAGGCATGCACCACCAATGCCCAGCCACGTGCTCACTTCTTATGTAGTATTGTGGTAGTCAGAAATTGACATAGCCATCCATTACTTGAAGAATGCTTAAATCTTGGAATACGCACATAAGATAACTTGAAGTATTAAATAGTAATGTGATGATGGAACCATGTGAAGAAGTAGTTGACCTGATTTAAATTTTATTCAGAAAGCATTCATATGGATATATATGAGTCTGTATAAACAGAAAAAAATTGTTAGGTGTTAACTAGGACAGGATAGTCTGCCATGGGGCATATTGACCTTATGTGATAATGTCTATATTTTTGAAATAAAATTGTTTTCATCAGAATGCTACTGTTTTTCTACAAGATACATTTTGTCTTGAAAACAATTGAAATAATTCCAAAAGAGTACCAATGAAAGATGGTTATCATTATACGCAGTGGGCACAGCACATAGTCAGTTGTTTTTTCTACTTCCTCTATCCTAGTCCTCACAGCTGTACCCTTGTTCCTGTTCCCCAGGGGAATTCATTTTAATCATGATTCTTTTCAGAACATGCACTACTGAATAGTGTAGAAGCTAAGCCATGCTGTACACAGTGATTGGTTTTCCTTAGCCACTCTGTGAGCTCTCCTACCTTTGTTAGCATCATTTCTACATTCCAGTTCTAGCGTCTCCAATATCAGATGGGCAATATCAGTCTAGACATCAAAGGGAAGGCCATTTGAATTTCCTCCTCCCCTTTTTCCTCTCTCCCCCCCTTTCTTGTTGGGGATTAAATCTGGGGTCTTGGACATGCTAAGCAAGCACCCAGTCCTGTTATTTGAATTTCTTGAATTCTCAGAGTTTTCTGGCAGGACTTTGGATGGCTGCTTAGTAGGCCGACTACATAGCTGTTGCTATGGTTTTTGTTGTTGTTTGTTTTAATTCTGTCATTGAATTTGGATAAACTGATACTGTTTCCTAGTTGAGTATCTCAGATTTTTGTGAGCAGCTTAGGTTTATTAAAATGTATTCTGTCTCTGGGAGACTGAAGTCTGGAGGTTTTTGTTTTCAGTTGACTTTTAGTTTGAAGAAGGTTACCTGACCTCACACTTCTTGTTCTGACCTTCTCTGAACTTCAGAGATTGCTTTTCATGGTAGTGATATGAAGAGCCCAAGTTCTCCAGTCCTATAGTATTACCATCACACAGGAAGAAGAGCAAAGCATGTAGGTGACATATTTCCCAAGCTCAGTACTCTAGCTTCTAGCATACTCCTGGCATCTCTCTCCCTAAATCAGAGTTATGTGTGTCCCTTTGTCTCCACCCCTATTAGAAAGTGGTATTGCTTCATCCAGACCCTAATCTTCACCACTGCAGAGTAGAATTTTCAGCAACTTCTTAAAAGGGGTCTAATCTCGGTGTTGGCTGGGCATTAGCATCACTAAGGAACCTGAATTGCTGGAGCCAGCCTCAAGATTCTGATTCAGCTGTTTTAGGGTACCATTACTGTGAAATAAACAAGCAAGCTACCTTCCTGTACTTTTGACATTTTTACTTGCAGAGAGTGCTTTATAGCTTCTGATTGGTTATCCCACTTGTCAGTATCACCAATCCTGTGCTCACTGAGTAAAATAAGGGTCATATGCCAGATGTGGTGGTGCCTTTATTTCCAGCACTTTAGGGTCAGAGGCATATGGATCTCTGAGGACTCTAGAGTAACACACCAAGTTTCAAGTTATCCAGGACTATAGAAACAAGACCCTCTCTCAAAAGAAATGAAAAAAGGATTGTGTGAGCATGCTTTCAGTGAGTGAATGTTAGACAAAAAGATGACTCATATCACAGGTGGGACAGAGCAGGACAGCTCAAGATAGGAAGTTCCTTCATACTTTTCAGAGTGTCATCAACATCTGAGATAAGTTGATGAATGTTTAGAGGTTTGACATTGGGGTTTTGAAGAAATATCCATCATTGAGGTTTTAAGTGGTTTTGATAAGTGACATATGCTGTTTCCATAGATAACAGTTTGCTTTTCTATTGTTAATGACATTTCTGCTTGTTTCTCAGGCAACAGAAACAGATGTTAAAATCAGTGTGTGCACCCGAGCCTACCATCTGCTTGTGGAAAAACTGGGCTTCAATCCAAATGACATCATCTTTGACCCAAACATTCTTACCATTGGTACTGGAATGGAAGAACATAACTTGTATGCTATCAATTTTATTCATGCAACAAGAATCATTAAAGTAAGTCTGGATATTTTCTGTCTTTACCCAAGACACAGCTCAAATTTATCACCTTGGTTTAGTGCATGCTTAGAACTAACACATACTGATTTTCTGAGAATAGTTAACATTCCCAGCCTTAATAAATTGCTTTCTAAAATGTAGGGATTTTATCTTTTATATAATGCTATTTAATCGTGGTGTGTAACACATATGAGAATATATAAAACATAGTCTGTAGTCTATAGTAGATAAGTAGTGATGAACTGTATAATAACTTTGACTTTTCTGAAGTGGCATGAGGCTACTGCCCCATATTTCTCTTCTTTTCTGGGTGTGCCTTATTCTCAATTTCATGAAGTAACCTTTATTCTGATATCTATGGTTCTGAGATTTCATTATTGTTTTTGCTAATAATTTTATTACTTATATGCATGTTCAGTTTACATTATATCCATTGATTTTTGTGCTTGCCAGTATACACTCTAAAATTTGGTTTTGACCTGAGTCAGTTCTCAAGCTGCTTTTGTAGTCAACTGGGGACGTGCCCTTGTATAGGCTTGACTCACATCCTCAGTTGAGGATGGCCTTGGAGACAGTTAGCTCTTACTTTGCAAACAGGTATCTTGTCCTGTTCAGTGCCGTTAATATTGTTCTGCTTTTTGTTTGTGATTTCCTATTTGAAAGTGCCCTTCAGTCCTGATGCAGTGCTTTCTGGTGGTCACATGGGCAGGATACCTGTGCCTAGTGTGCTTAGTGGAAAAACATGCTTGCTGGATAAGCCTTATTCAGACTTAAGTCGCAGGGCTGCTGGTCACGAATTCAGTAGTGTCTTTAAATATGTATTCATTTTTATTTATGTATATGTATGTGTGCCTGTTTGAGTTTTTGTGTACTATATGTATTCAAGTTCCCAAGGAAGCCAAAGTGTTAGATTCTCTGGAACTGGAGTTAGAGGTTGTTGTGAGCTAATGTGGGTGCAGTGTTGTCTGTTTAAAAGAGTAATGTGCACTCCTAAACCACTCTGCCATCTCCAGCCCATAAGATGTTTTTAACAGACACACAAAACAAGGTTCTATGTTGATGAGATGAACATGTGACCAGTGACTGCCAGCTGCTATGTTATTTGTGAGGACAGCAAATAGGGAATCATAAGAATCAGCTGAATGTTCAGATACTATAAATTGGCCTCTTTTTTCTCTTAATATAATTCAAATCTCTCTATTCAACTTCCCTTTTTTTGGACAGGGTCTTACTGTGTAGTTTAGGCTGGTTTAAATCAGTCTCCTGCCCAACCTCTCTCCAGTGCCACTGGGTCCACTTTAACCTCATTTTAAATTTCATTTGTATTTCTAAAGTTATATTTGTTCATATTTATTAATGTATAATTATTCACAACTAGCCATTCCACTGTTGAACAGTTGTGAACATTCTTGTATTAGGTTGGTGCAAAATTAATTGTAGTTTCAGATTATGAATTTTAAATCACAACTAGGCTCAAACATACCTTCATTAATCAAAATCGGCACCATTGTAATCAACTTGTTTTTAACAATGAGAAATACATTTTTAAATTTTCTTGGCATAAAAAAAATCAGTGTTTTACACACTGGGAAGATGGTTCAGCAGGTAAAGGCATATGTGTCAGTCAAGCCTGATGATCTGAGTTCAATCCCAAGTCCTACATAATGGGGGAAGGTGAGAACTGACTCGTGCAAGTTGTGTTCTGAACTCTTCATACACTATGGCTTGTCTGAGTACTATTCCAAATAAATAAACGCAACAGACAGGTATTTTTTAGTCAGTGCTTCATGATTCAATAACTCTTGGAAAGTAATTTCCCTATCCTGCTGATTGTGGAATTTTTTTTCCCTGAAAAATGTTATCAAGATGTTTGAAGAAATGGCAGTCTGTTGGCTAATGACCAGGTAACTATGGTGGATAAGGCAAGAACTTCGTAGTCCAGTTCTTGACGTATGGCCAGATAATGCCATGGAGAAGAACTGGACCTTTTCTTTTGGTATGCATAGAATAAAATAAATATTTAAAATAGCAAGTAAGAAATCATTAGTAAAAACCCATAAAGCAGAACTGCATATTAAAATGGCATTTAACGTAAACAAACTTATCAAGAATGAAGGAAAAAATTTTAACAATGCAAACCTAGTGTTACTTTTGCACCAATCTAACATGATAGGTTCATATCTTTGAGTTAAACACACATGCTTGAGTTTCTCTGTAGCATGGGGTGGAATGGCTAGACAATGGCAAACTGTCTGCCTTGACACTCAGGCCTGAACTGAGAGTTACTGGTTTTATGACTAATGCTTGATATTGTCGCAGGCATCTCAGCTGCCTTTGTTTTTCTATATTTTGTCAAGTTTGTAATGAACTTGAGAGCTTGTTCATTAAGTTATTGAACACTTCTAGCTTTGAATGAGTCAGGAATGTATGCACATGCACATTTGTAAATACATGTACATAATCCTTTGTTTTCTGTCATTTTTCCCCCTGGTCATTTATCCAGCAAACATATATCCAGCAAATATAACTCTCATTTTCATGCCTTACTATGGTCATTCTGTAATACCTCCACAGGTAGTCAGATAAAATAGGATTTTGTCTTATGTTTTCCCTACACATATTAAAGTCTGGTAGGAAAAGCTATTTATGAAGCAGTGCTTAGAAGTGACACTTTAAAAGGTGATTGATTTATATAATAAAAGAGGGACCAGAGTACATGATACAGTAATGTAGCAAACTATTTTTTGCCTAGTAATAAGCTCAGAGTTACTTTTGACTTTTTCTTTTACTTCTCCTGTGTACATAGCTTATAAGATATGACTGATTGTGGCTTTTGACAAGATAAGAGAATCTTTTCATGGTTTTACACTTTTGCCAGGAAACATTACCAGGAGTCAGAATAAGTGGAGGTCTTTCTAACTTGTCCTTCTCCTTCCGAGGGATGGAAGCCATTCGAGAAGCAATGCATGGTGTTTTCCTTTACCATGCAATCAAGGTATGATGAAACCAACTTATTCTTAGTTGCTGGGAAGATAACTCCTGGATAAAGTGTTGCTGTACAAGCCTGAGGACTTGAGTTGAAATTTCACAGCCTGTGGGAATCTTAGTATAGTAGTAACTCCTACTGAAGAATGAGAGATGGAGACAGAATCCTTGGAAGATTGTAGAGCCAGCTAGCCTAGCATGTCCAGTGGTGAACAAGAATCCCCATATGCAACAAAATGAAAGTCAAGAACCAACACCCAGAGTTGTCCTCTGACCTCCATACATGTGCCATGGGATATGTATACCCAGGAACAAATATATGCACAGACATCTAAACACATGTAAGATTTTTTAAAGAATTAAAACAAAATTGATGGTACTATACTTTGACTTAGAGCAGGCTTACAGTCTGAGCCCTGCCAGATAACTGGCCTGCTTCTGTCTTCAAACGAAACTTCGGTGGCACAAAACACCCTCATCCCTTCTGTGTCTTGTCTAGGGCTGCTTTTACACTACAGAAGAGTTGAATAGTGACCAGCTTTGTCATAAAGTATTCTTCTCTTATCCCCGATTTAGGATTTCAGTAGAAATTCTCCTTTTCTTTTGTATTGCCCTTAGTTTGGTATGGACATGGGGATAGTCAATGCAGGCAACCTCCCTGTGTATGATGATATCCAAAAGGACCTTCTTCAGCTCTGTGAAGACCTCATCTGGAACAAAGACCCTGAGGCTACTGAGAAACTCTTACGATATGCCCAGGTAAGGGAAAAAGTGCCCAAAGGGTAGCTTTTCCTGCCTTAGAATGTATCACTCATTGGCAGTTATTGGATCTTTATTGTAGAATGGGAACAAATGTAGAGTTGTTGTCTCTGGATCACTAATCATCATCGTCATGGTTTTCATAGTGCTCTAGAGAAGGTATTGCAGTTAGGTGAGGAGAGAGAAGTAGACCTTGTTTAGGTTGTTTTAGTATTTTGAACTTAGACTTTTCTAAATTGATTTCTTTTTTTTTTAGTGAGAGTTTTTTTTGGGGGGGTGAGGGGTGGGATTGAGACAGGATTTCTTTTGTGTAACAGCCCTGGCTTTTCTGAAACTTGCTTTGTCGACCAGGCTAGTCTCAAACTCACAGAGCTCCTCCTGCCTATACCTCCTAAGTACTGGGATTAAAGATGTAAGATATCATGCCCAGCTTGTGATATTTTTCTTACATTAAACAATGCATGTTAATTGTATAACATTCACAGAATGCAGTAATCAGAAGAAAATGACAATCACAATCTTACTATCTGAAGGTAGTGACTATAAGATAAGGTTTTATTACAACTTGCAGTCATTTTACACACACACACACTTGTGTGTACATACACATTTTCTTATTGAGAATACATTTTTTTTTTCACACAATATATTCTGATCATGGTTTCTCCTTCCCCAACTCCTCAGAGTCTCTCTGCCTTCTTACCCATCTAACCTTATGCCTTCTTTCTCTCTTGTTATAAAACATTTTAAAAATTGAAAAAAAGAGAATACAAGAAACACACACACACACACACACACATATACACACACACGCAACTCAATAGAAACATGTTATCAGAAACCATAATATACAAGCAAAAGACCACCAGTAAGATAAAAAAAAAGCCTAGCAAAGCAATATGATACAAAAATAAAATCAACAAAGAGAATATTGAATTTATTTTGTGTTGATAATCTACTTCGGTCATGGGGCCTACCCTTAAGTATGCTTTATATACCTAGTGAGACTTCATTGCAGTCTCCTTTGCAAATGCTGTCAGTTGAAGATAACTTCTTGGTTAATAATGGGAGCTTATTCCAATTCCTCCTCTCAGAGCTGGTACTCCATCTGGCTTGACTGTATGCAGACCCTGTGCATGCTGCCAGTCTGTGTGAGTTCATAAGTATGTCAGTCTTTGTGTTTGGAAGACACTGTTTCTTTGGTGTAATCCGTCCCCTCCGACTCATACATTGTTTTCTGCCCCTCTTTCTCAAAGCTCCCTAAGCCCTGAGGGGTAGGGGTGTGATGAAGACGTTCCATTTTGGCCTGAGTGTTCTAAAGTCTCTCAGTGTGTATATTTTTCAGTTGTGGGTCTCTGCAGCTTCAAGAGAAAGCATCTCTGATGATGGCTAAGTGAGACACCGATCTATGGGTAAAGCAGAACAGTAGTATTTGGCTTTCCTCTGGGTTTATTGTCTGTCTAGTCTCAGGTTCTTGACCACTTGAACAGTACCAGACATGGGTTCCATCTCATCGAGTGGGCTTTAAATCTAACCACAGAGTGGTTGGTTGCTCCTACCCACCATGTTTGTACCACTGCTGCACCAGTCTATCATATGGTCAGTCACCATTGTAGGTTGCAGGGCTTGTAATCTTTCTCTGCTAGTAGTTTGCAGAGTACCTTAGTACTGTAGGCAGATGGGGCATTGTAGGCGGCCTTTTTCTGTCCCGTCTACCAGCTCCCAAATAACCAGACTACTTATTAAGTATAAAAACTCAGCTGATAGCTTAGGCTTTCCCCACTAGCTCTTATGACTTAAATTAACACATTTCTGTTTATCTATGTGTTCCCTCTGCATCTGCTGATGACTGTCTTCTTTCCACCTTTCTCTCTGCCTTGAAAATCCTGCCTAGGTATTGGCCATTTAGCTTTTAATTAAACCATTTCGAGTGCCTTTTTTTCATGCAAAAAGATTATTCCATAACAGTACTGTGATACTAGCAGGGGTGAAGACTCTAGTTAGTGTCATTGTTGTCATTATCGTTGGTGTGTGTGTGTTGGGGATTGAACCCCAGCGTTTGAACATGCTAGGTGAATGCTCTACCACTGAGCACTCTCCCATGTTTTTGTGTTTTGTCTTTGCATCATGAATGTCCTTTTAAATAACTGATTAGAAGTAAAATGGGCTTGGTGTGTTCCCTGTACTTTTGACTATGTCATTCTAAGTATTGTTTTTTGTTTGTTTGTTTTTTTGTCAAATTAATCAGGCTTTGGATACATCTATTGGGTGTGGAGTAGTTTTTTTTTTTTTTTCTCACTCGAGTGAAGTCTTTACTGGTCTTTGTATTTACCATTATATCCATTTTTTCCTCACTGACTCATGAATGTGGCACACTATTTTTTTTCTGGAATGCTTGGAACAGTCTTTCCTGCTTTAATGCAGGAACTTCCCTAAGTCAGGAACTGTTTTGATTGTGTGGCTGCTAGGACTTTGATTGTATGTTTCAGTGATATTGTGAGCACTAGAAAGGCTTTTTCTTGTTTAATTACCTCTTGTTTAGGCTTTCTGCTTACCGCCTTGGCGTTCTCCCTAATTCCTTCTTGTCCTTATACTCACTGTTACATACTGGCTGTATGTTTGCCTTCTCTCTTCCTGTTCCCAGGCCTTCAGCACAGTTATGTGTGAACACATTTCCCTCCGCCTGAATTTCCTTCAAAAAATAAAGGAACTGTGAGTCTGACTACAGAGTTTTGAATACTGCCTTCTCCCTTTCCACAGCTGTCTGGAGATTGAAATCCAGAATGAATTTCTGTGACTTGGACTCTCCTTTCCTACATAAACATTGCTCTGGTCATATCAATTCTGGTCTATCATTCAATCATTCAGCTAATGGTCACCACGCCCTCTCTGCTTTGCCTGAACTTCAAGGGTCTGAGTAGTAGGAACTGTGCCTCTCCTCCCAGAGCCTGCAGACACGAATGTGGTAATCTGATAGCTTTGGAGTTGTTTCTCACGGTTTCTAGGGATTGGATTTAGATCATCAGGCTCCACAGCAAATGCTTGAGTCTGCTTAGCACTAAAATCTCTGATTTGGGCAGCTGGTGCCACCAGTGGAGGGAGAACATACAAGGTAGTGTAATCTACCCAGTGTGCCAGGATGCTTGCGTTGGCCGTTATCCCTTTTCTGAGTTTCTTCCCTTGAGACTCAGCTTCTCTGAAGCCCTTTTCGGTGTCTCAGTTGGTGGTGTCTGTTCCCTCAAACTTCCATGTTGCTGTTAGACATCCTCCATTCAGCCTCAGATGTGTACTCTTAGAGCTTTCCCTTCTTTGTTTTCTTCCTTCCTCCCTTATAGGGTAAGATCTTAGTGATCATGACCTTACACTTAGGGTGTTCACATCCAGGGCATTCTGCCTTCACACTAGCTGTAACACAAATCATAAAAAGACCCAGAGACAGATACTGAGGTTCAAACTGAAGATCAAAGAAGCAAAGCAGCCAGCCACTAGAGAGTTCTCACCTCTACCAATGCTCAGACCGAAGGGACGATCCACTGAACCTCAGATTGCAGCTCCAGAATGCACCCAGCCTCGGAATCCCAGACTGCCATGATCTCTTCAACGTGGCTAATTGCCACATGAGACCCTTTGCTTTTTCCTTATATACTCTTTAGTGCTGGAATTAAAGACATGAGCTCTGTTATTCTTTTTGACTGATTTACTCTCATGTAGCCCAGGGTGGCCTTGAGCTCAGACATATCCATCTGCTTCTGTCTCCTGAGTCCTGGGATTAAAGGTGTGTGTTATCACTGCCCACCTTCTATGGCTGTCTAGTGTGGCTGGCTTTGCAGTTTGATCTGCAGGCAAGCTTTATTAAATCATAAACAATATATCGGCACACTAAGAATATTGCCTTTGAATTTTTTTTTGTTTTTTGTTTTTTGTTTTTACGAGACAGGGTTTCTCTGTATTGTTTTGGAGGCTGTCGGACCAGCCCGGCCTCGAACTCACAGAGATCCGCCTGCCTCTGCCTCCTGAGTGCTGGGATTAAAGGCGTGCGCCACCACTGCCCGGCTTAAATTTTTTGAGATGTGATTTCATTATGTAGTGTATGTTGGTCTAGAACTCACAATCCTCCTGCCTCAACTTTCCAAGTGCTGGGATTATAGGAATGTGACACCACTGCTCGTGGCTCCCAAATTTTCACAGATCGTATGTGGGTGGTATTGATCCTTCCTGAGAGCTGGAGTGTTAGAGAATAACGTTTATGTCCTAGAAATAGTTTGATGTTAATTTTTAGGGAAAAAAAAGTACGACTATTTCCTTTCTCTACTGGAAGTTCAAATTTTAAAAGTTTTTTTCTCTTTCTCAACATTTATTTCAATCTTGATTCATGTTGAACACTCTGGGACCTGGGAACTTATAGAAAAGATAAGGCACTGATTTTTTTTTTTAATTTGCTGCAGATAATTCACTATGTATCATTTGTACTCACTCTATGGTCTTAATTTTAATCCAGACTCATGGCAAAGGAGGGAAGAAAGTCATCCAGACAGATGAGTGGAGGAATGGTTCCATTGAAGAGCGTCTTGAGTATGCTCTCGTGAAGGTGAGTCCCAGAGCCGGTACAGGAAGCCTGGTGACTTATGTCTCCCTGGTGCCATCGCTGACAGTTGTTGGAGGAGACACTGCCCTAGACTTTGGACTATTGATCCTTAACCTGCAGGGTCTGCTTCCCAGTACCGTTTGACAGTTCTTACAGATGGGTGTGGAAGATGCTCTGGAACTCATTGGCTGCAGTGTACAAGATAGGCCCACATACACAGTAAGGATTGCCTAGGCAGTTAGTAGTTCTGAGCTTGAAAACCCTTCCTAGACTGGGTTCCTTTTGGTCAGTCAGCAGGAAAGTAATGGTTCTTCCACAACAGATAGAATTTTAGGTAAGATAAGTAATCTCTGGACCTCAGTTCCTACATCCATAAGTCTGGAAAATTCCAGAATGTTTTTTCAAAAGCCTTTAGAATTTTAACTTTTAATTCTTCGACCTTCTGAGAGTCAGGTATTTCAGTTTGGACTATTCATTTGTATCCTACAATCTTTGAGGGTCCTCAGCTTTAGAGACTTATCAGCAAAGGCCAGTAAGTCAGGGAAGGAAAGTTCCATTTTGGCATGTAGTGTTACAGTGAGAGAAAATACATACTGCTTTATTATTATTATTTATTATTGTTTGAGAAAGGATCTTACTGTGTGTCCCTGGCTGGCCTGGAACTCACCATGTAGATCAAGCTGGGCTCGAATTCACAGAGATCCACTTGGCAGTGCCTCCTAAGTGCTAGGATTTAAGGCTTATATTACCACACCTCATTGAGAAGAGAGATACTGATTTTATAGAGATGTTTATTTATTGGCATATAATCAGTTGCTGAGGCTTGAACTCTGACCCTCACACATGATAGGCACCTACTCTACTACTGAGCTACAATCCCAGTCTTCACTAATATCTCACTTTTTGGAGTTACTTCCTATTAATAAGTCATTATAAATAAATGATGTCACAGTGATTGTCCAAATAAATACAAGGTTGGTACTTTCGTGATTCTGTAAGTGAGGAAACCAAAACTTAATAAATTACCTGCATCAGTAATGAGAACCCGGACTCAAACTCTGTCAGACTGATTCTGGGATTCCTGCTCTTAAGCATCTCTCTGATTCATTCTTTGATTTTGACCTTAATACAATCACTTGTTTGATCTCTTACCCCTCCTTTTTCTTTCTTTTTTTCTTTTAAGGGCATTGAAAAGCACATTGTTGAAGATACTGAAGAAGCCAGGTTAAACCGGGAAAAATATCCTCGACCTCTGAATATAATTGAAGGGCCTCTAATGAATGGCATGAAAGTGGTTGGTGATCTTTTTGGAGCTGGAAAGATGTTTCTACCTCAGGTTGGCAAAACAGAAATTTCAACAAATCTCTTTCTGTTTTTCAGTAAATAGTGAGATTGAGTATTTTCTGACTTTGCAGTATAAGCAGAACTTGACTGTTTATCTGATCACTCCTTCTCTGGGTATATTGAGAAATCATTTCTTGCCAGTCCATCTTTAGAGTGTGTAGTGGTTAGAAAGTTTGTAGACATTCCTAGTACCATAATATGCATGTTCTGTATTTTCATGCCATTCAACCCAAGATAAATGTAATATTAATACATTTGTTGTGACAAGCCAGTAGCCATCTTTAAGAATCATATGTTGAAAATATATTACTCTTTTAAATAGTGGGACTTTAATGATATTTTTAAGTAAAAACAGAGCATTTTCTTAAAGCAACTACTTAACTATCATTTAACAAATTCTTGCTGAGAATACAGGATGGGGCTCTGAAGCATATAAAAAGCTAAAAGAGCCTCTTCTTTCATAAACCTCAATTTCAAGTGAGTTACAATGCTGGGGATTTATAGAATGATAGGTTGAAACATGGGACTTAAAAGATGCATAGAATTCAGAGACACAGTAGAAGGACTTTAGGCAGGAAAAAAAACCTGCTGAGTAAAAGTTCAGAAACAGATTTAACCGTTGATTTGTGTTTGGTTTCCCTCTTGCTGTTCTTCATATATCCGTCTTCCCCATAGGGACCTAATTCCTCATTCTGCTCACTGTAGAACTCTGCGATGGAGCAATTATTCATTCTTCATTGGTCCTGAAGCTTCACGGGTCCACAGTGGCAGTCATGTGATAGTTTGCTGATGATGCCTGACTCTGCTTTTTCCAGGTTATAAAGTCAGCCCGTGTCATGAAGAAGGCTGTTGGACACCTTATCCCTTTCATGGAAAAAGAAAGAGAAGAAGCTAGAGTGCTCAATGGCTCTGTTGAAGAAGAGGCAAGTCATTTTTGTCCCGGCCTGGAGCCTTTTCAGGAGCTGGCCTGAAAGACTACTATTTTTGTGGGACTGGGAGCTTTTTTTATGCAGTTGGTGCCCTCTTTCAACCTTCATGTGGATAGGCTCAGGGCATTGAACTCAGGTCTTTAGTTTTTCACAGCAGGTATCTTCCCCTGCTGTGGCAACTTGTTGGCCATGTTCATGTTTTGCGTGTATCGTTTTTGCTCTCAGAAAGCTCTTCCCCAAATACTTTTTGGTTGTACCCTTGGTACCACTTATAGCATTCATCCTGGCAACACCAGCAGAGTAAGCCACTAGTCTTTCTACTTTATTTAGAGCCCTGTGTTGTTCAAGCACCTTTGGCCTCTAGAATTCTTAATCTACATTTGTAGTTGGCTGAATTAGAGAGATGATGCTTGCCTTGCATCCCATTCTTTTCCATTTTCTTGTTTCATTACTGTTCAAAAGAACTGTTTTAGAGAAATAGAAGATGATTCTACATTCCCTGCACTGGGCTGCTTTCAAAATTCGAGGGAACTCTGCAGTTGGCCCTCTCTTCCCTTATAGCAGGCTTTAATTGTGCCACCAGCCAGCTCCCAAATTATGACATGGAGACTTAATATTAGTAACGAATGCTTGGCCTTATTTTATGTTCGTTTCTTGCCAGCTCTTATAACCTATTTGCCTTCATCAGTGTTTTGCTTCAGGGCCTTTTGCCTTTCTCTCCTTGTGTGTGTCTTACTCCGTCTAGCTGACTGGCCCTGGACCTCTCTCTCTTTCTCTCTCATTCTCTCCTCTCTTCTCTTTTCTATATTTCTCCTTCTACTTATTCTCTCTGCTCATCAGCCCCACCTAGCCTTCTCCTGCCTAACTATGGGCCATTCAGCTCTTTATTAGACCAACCAGGTGCCTTAGGCAGACTAGGTGAAACAGCAACACATCTTTACATAATTAAACAAATGCAGCATAAACAAATGTAACACATCTTTACGTAAATATTCCACAATACTCCCCCTTTTCCAACTCAGGAATATACCTTGGCAATTTCAGGGTAACGAATGTGGTCTAGCTGTAGGACTGTTGACTCTCTTTCAGATGCTAGAACCTATGAGCTTGGTTGAAATTCCTGGGCTGACATGCGAGGCAGGCCTCTTTTGAACTTCTGGGAGGCACAGAGCTCTAAGTAGAGTCTGTTACTTGGGTCCCTGCCCTACCTTTGAGGTGGTTTTGGTGTTTATTCCTCTGCCATCACCTGTGTGACTCTTGAAAAGAAGATGGTCTTCCCTGGTGACTACCCACCCCCATGCTCAGCTGCTTCCCTCACTCTGCAGGACCCTTACCAAGGCACCATTGTGCTGGCCACTGTTAAAGGTGATGTGCACGACATAGGCAAGAACATAGTTGGCGTGGTGCTGGGCTGCAATAATTTCAGGTAAGTTGAGACTTCACTTCATCCCCTACATGTTTAAAATGTAAATCGTAAATCTTTTACTGGGTTAGAGAGATGGCATAGGGTATGGCCATGGATATGGTGTTTTTTTTTTTGTTTGTTTGTTTGTTTTGTTTTGTTTACAGCTGTGAACACAGCTCTTTTTATAGGTTCATAATTATGTGTCTCTTACATATTTGTTAAGGGCATAGAGAATAAGAAGCAATCCCTAGGGGCCAGGCATCCAGGAGGCTTCTTGGAATGTGTATTGGACATAGTCTCTAATAGTTGTGCATTAGGCTTGTCTTAGTTAGGATTTCTCCTGCTGTGATGAAACACCGAGACCAAAAAGCAAGTTGTGAGGCAAAGGGTTCATTCAGCTTACGTATCCATATTACTGGTTATCACCAAAGGAAGTCAAGATAGGAACTCTAGCAGGGCAGGATCTTGGAGGCAGGAGCTGATACAGAGGTCATGAAGGGGTGCTGCTTATGGGCTTGCTTTACTTGGCTTGCTCAGCCTGCTTTCTTACAGAACCTAGGTTTACCAGCCCAGGGATGGCACCACCCACCATGGGCTGCGCCCTCCCCTGTTGATCACTAAACGAGAAAATGCCTTACAGCCGCATCTCTTAGAGTCATTGCCTCAACTGAGGCTCCTCCCACTGATGACTCTAGCTTGTGTCAAGTTGACACAAAACCAGCCAGTACAAGACTTCTAATGGTCAGCATGTACTATTTTCCACCCAGCAAACTGCCAGGTTTTAGCCCAGGGTTCTTATGACAGCTGACTTCTTAGGAAGGCTTTGCCTTTACTAATCTTGACATCCTCTGTGTTTCTTGGTGATTATACTAGTGTTCTCTAAGGAACAGAACTGATAGAATGAACTAATATTATCTATATATTAGTAAAGGATTTGATTTATTAGAGAGGCTTACAGGCTGTGGTCTACGTAGTTTAATAGTGACTGCTTCCTGACAGAAAGGCCAAGGATCCAGTAGTTATTCGGTCAATGAGACTGGATATCTCAGCAGTCCCAATCTGGTGCTGGAGTCCCAGGGAGGTCCTAGAGAGCTGCCAGTTTCCATCCACTTTGGAATTCCGAAGAAGTAGGTTTTACTACTCAAGAGTCGGGACAAGCAGACAGAAAGCAAAGGCTTCCTTCTGCATGTCCTTTCAGGTCATGGTCCAGATTTAGTGTGAACCTTCTGACCTTAAATGATCTACATTTAGGGTGGATCTCCCACTTCAAATAATCCAACCAAGGAAAATCCCTCACAGGTACACCAAGCTGCTTGGGTTTTAGATCCTTTTAAGTATAGCCAAATTGACAACCAAGACACAGTGACAATGTAGTTTTTGGAATGATATATTCAGGTAAAATCCCTTTTTGATATCCCATAATGAATAAACATTCATACCAAAGTTGTTTCCTGATAAGTTAATAGTTTATATTTTCCCAACTTCACAATATGTTTCAATGAAAAATTGCTAATGCCTGTTGTGGTCCATGTCTAGCCAGTGGTCCTTTGGAGTCATGGGCTACTTTCCCCTGTGTCTTTTTCTCTGGTAGAGTCTGATGGTGCTGTGGTATGCTCTCTTGTGTTCTCGTTTCTGCTGTCAGCCTCTGGCCTCTCAACACTTGACCCATCTCTGTCTGGAACACTGATTAGATTCCATTCAGGAAGACTGAGGCTGGTTGTGTCAGGAGGGCAGCTTTCCCTATGGACAGTCTTTCTACCTTTCTTTTCAGCCTTTGTCTTGAAGATAGCATTTTTTTTCCTAGCCTTGGAAATCAGGACTGTAGTTTCTACTGTGTAACGTGTTGCCTTCCCCACCAGCTGCCTGGGCCCTGTTGAGTTGTCTGAACCTCCAAAAACACAAAGGATACTATATTAATTATGAAGCTGTTGGCCATTTGCTATTGCCTCTCATTGACTAGCTCTGACTTAATTATTGACCCATAATTACTAATATATTTGCTTATAAGGACTTTCCAAGAATGCAGACTTGCATCCCCTCTTCCCGGGAATCACATGGTGATGGATCAGTTCACTATATTTCCCAGAATCCTCCTAGACTCCTAGTCCCACCTATTTTGCTTCCCTATTGGCCAACAGTGCTTTATTGACATATACACAGGACTTCCCCATCACTACCATCTATTTATTATTCATTAAAATGACAAGTCAACCTTTGTTCTGTGATGTCACTTACTTACCAGTATTGTTTTGACCTGCATTAACTTTAATTGAATTGGCTCATTTTATATCCTAAATTTCCATTGAGAAATAGAATATTCAAAAGTGTTTTTGATCAGATAATTGATTGCATAATAAATATACTCTCTCTCTACAGAAAAGACAGTTATGTACTTTTCCTATTTAACACTAATTGTATGAGGAAATTTGCAAAGCAGCAGAGAACTACTATAAATCAAGGGCAAATGATGCTAATCCAGCCTCCCTCAGGGTCTTCAATTGAACCCCACAAGGTCATGGATAATTTAGAGGCCTTTCACTTGCCATGTTTTGAAGGGAGAACTTCACAAATTTAGGTTTTTAAAACAGAAATGGGCTGGGCATGGAGGTGTATGTCTTTAATCCAGCACTCAAATACAGAGGTGGGTGAATCAACATAGTGAGTTCCAGGCCAGCTCAGGCAAGTAAACAGAGCAAATGCTTCCTTCTAGGTCCTTTTATGTGTGTTTCCACCAGAAGGTATGGCCTAGATTGAGGACTTCAAATGATCCAGATTTAGGGTGGGGAGAAAGAAGAAGAAATAGAAAAAAAAGAAAAAGAAAAAGAAAAAGAAAAAGAATAAAGCAACAACAGTAGGTCCTGTGAGTGCTGCCTAACCAGGTAGAGGGAACACAACAGAATCACAGCTGGGTGCTGGACTGGTAGGATGCTTCCATCTAGTGGTAGGTTGTGTGAATTGCAGGGGCAGCAGTTAGGAAGTGACTGCCACTATCAGGTTTCTGAAAGAGAAACTGAAGTTTAGGACAGTTGAATTTTTTTTTCATTTGTACCCCACCCCCTCTCTCTTCTCCCTTCCCTCCTATGCCTCTCTCCTATTTTTAATTAACAAGGAACACATATTCCTAAGTTACACATTTATGGAGTACAGTGTGACATAAAACACATGTATATAGTGTATAGTGAGCAAGCATGTCTCCATATGCATCCTTACTGAAGTGGAGGGTTCATTCTTCTCTCACAGTTCTTCATAATATGCAGCAGGCTGTTGTGTACAGTAGTACCACCCTGCTGTGGAGCATGAGAACTCATTTCTCCTGAGCAACTGTTGTAGTTAAGCCTGCTGTTCAGCCCTTTATCCCTCTCTCCCCTACCCTGTCTATCTAGCCTCTGGTAATTACCTTTCAACTTTCTTATATGCTAAGGTCACCCTTTTAAGTTTCTTCACATGAGAGAGATCAGATTTCTGTGTCTGGATTGTTTCACTTAACATAGTGTCTATCAACTCCATCTCTTTTGCTGCACAATTGTCCTCTTCCTTTGTGATTTCTCCTGAAGAGGAAAAGAGCTATTTTTGTTTATTTTATATACTCTGTGTTAGTTAAAATACTGTTGGATACCATTAGTAACTCATGTTTTGTAGCTTACATTTTTTTCTGAATTTGAATCCCAAGTACAATGTATTCTTAAAACTCTTTCTAAGAATACTTTTAAGACTGTGTGTGTGTGTGTGTGTGTGTGTGTGTGTGTGTGTGTGTGTGTGTGTGTGTGTATGCGAATGCAAGTGCTGTTCTGGTGAAAGTCAGGTAGCACCTTGCTTGGAAGCTAATTTTGTCTACCATGCAAGTTCCTGGTATGGAACTCAGGGTGTCAGGCTTGGTGGCAAATAACTTTACCCACTGAGCCATCTCACCAGCTCTTAGAGCTCTTTCTAAACACGAAGGAAAAACATTGTCAAATTAACATTTTTCACAACTTTCTTCCCCACTCCGTTCCCTTCTCCTCACTTTTCTTTCTTTTCACGAGGAGTCCTACTGTGTAGTGCAGGGTGGCCTTGAACTTGAGTTCTTCCTATTTTAGCTTTTCAAGCGCTGGGACTGCAGATATATACCACCACACTTAGGTAAATTTTCATTTTTCCTTTCTTTTAGTCTTTTCTGTGGCAGGAAACAATATTGTACTGAGGTGAGACCCACAGACCTGGGGTATACTCCACTCACAGTGAGCAAGGGATAGTAAAGGAAGTGGGTGAATGAGAGGTGAGAGGGAATGGCGGGGGGATGGACCAGTCAGACCCCCTCTAGGCCCCAAGAAGCTCATGGAGTTTTAGCTGGTTATGGCTCTAATCCATCATGGTCTAGGATCAGCCTAGGCTACTCTTTCTTTCCTGCATCTAGCTGATAATAACTCTTTTCAGTGTGTGGCTCCAGGCAGTGTTCCCCGTGATGCCTCTAGTTGTTGTTTGGTTTTCGTAGTCTCCATGCACACTGGGGATGCCTCCACGGGAGCACTTGTCACGCAGGAGTCTATCAGAGCTCCTGTTTCTGTTGCATTGGCATGCCCTTGGAGATGCCCTGGGACAGCCCCAGTGCTAGATTGGTACTCAAGGCTGGGAGTGACTGCCTTTGTGAGGCTAAGCTTTCTGTGTGTAGAAAATTGGCAACACTCCAGTTGGATTTTCATTCATTTCCCAGCAAGACATCTTGGAGGCAGATTAAGAAGTTGCAGGTTGACGTAGCTTCCCAGTCCCTTGCTCACTGTCCTGAGTCTGCCTCACTGACAGTCTGTCACTTTTCTCTGGCTCCTTCTTTCCTGCAAGTCCCCAGACACGAGAATGCCTCCAGACTTAGCCCTGGGGCTGCTCCTCTGTCTAGAATGGTGCCTCTTAACCTTGCCTGTCCCTTCTCATCATATCTTATGCAGACTCAGGTCTGGTGGAGGGCAGATTCATGGTCAAGTTCTACATTTCCAGGAAGCTGTCACCAGACATTGATGCTAGAGGTCCAGGACGGGCTCAGCCTCATCATGTATCCAGTGTCTGAACTCTGATGAGGCCCATTGTCTTCACGTGGATCGCTCTTCCCAGACTGCAGATGTACATGATCATGTAACTGCCTAAAGGGCTCCTTTTGGATTGAATAGTAAACTGATACTTTGAAAATGGAGTTAGTTGCTGTTATTTTAAGAACACCTCTCCCTACCAAACCCCTGCTTCAAAACACTGCTTATACTAAACCCTTGGGTGTTCATGGCTTCTCTTCTCCCCAGCTTCATGTAATACAGTATTTGCAGAGTATGGCCAACTCACACCACAGATGCTTCTATACTGGGCCAGACCATTGTTGTTTGATGTCTGGGTTTGTGTAGCAACCTAGCCAGTCTCTGCTTTTTCTCTGAAATTTTCTGGTTCAAAGTGAGTCTGTTTGACTGGAACTAATCTTACTCTTCCGTTCAACGCCTGAAGTGACTTCTCTTACCAGAGAATCATAGTCCTTGCCCTGGTCTATAAGTTCTTTTTTCAGACCTTCAGAGCTGCCAGGATCCTGTTCTGCAGCTGAAATCACAATCTCTGAGAAATGCAGGCGGGTTTCCAGTTGGGCTCAGTTGGAAACAGTGTGGATTCCAGTGTGTGATGGTGTCTCTTGACCCAGGGTCTGAGAAGCCCTCTGCTTCTTTGGGTGTGTGTGATACATAGTTTCTGTCCTGTGCCCTCAACCTTCTCTTTTCCTGTCTCTGTTCAATATCACAGTTACCTGGATTTTCTTCATGTATGTAAGACATACCCAAAAGTAGCGAGATTAAACGGGAGAGAACAGTGAGAGCAAGATAGTTGTCATTATTTTGATGATTTTAATCAGAAAACATAATACAGGGCTGGAGAGACAGTTCAGCTGTTAAACGCTAGAAAATGTCAAAACCATATGGTGTTGTAAAGAATCAGCTTGGTGGTGCATACTTTTTTGTCTTGATTTAAAAGCTATTTGCTCTTTTTCCTAGTTTTATATTCAGAAGTGTATACTTAGTCACCTCAAACAAAAGATCTTTAGTTACTAGAATTTCTTTACTATGTTAAAAAAACAACAATAACCTAGGAGTTATCAGCCACCACCTCCAGCATCTGTCTGCCATTGGTCAATACTAGCAGAGCCCAGTGTCAACTGAAATTGTCTCACTTTCTGTTGAGGTTTCCATAGTGTTAGTTAATTAAAAAAACAAACAAACCTTGTAGAAAAAAAAATGGGACAAGATACCAATCCATTAGTATAAGGGTTTGCAGTAAAAGTGATAAACAAGCCTACTTCTCACCTTCATGTTCAGCACTCACTACTGACTGCTGATATTCTGTTCTAGAGATGTTCTTAAGTGAACTCAAAAAAAAAAAAACTTTAAGCATTTGTTTTAAAATCAGAGTTTCACTGTATAGCCCAGGCTATCCTGGAACTTGCTATAGCCCAGGCTGGCTTCCAATGCATGACAATCCTTTTGCCTCACCCTTCTGAGTTCTGGAATGTACTGTCACACACAGCTGTCAGTTTTGGTTTGGTTTTAAGAATTTTCTGACAATAAAATAAATGAAAATACATGCTCTAATTTTTAAATCATGTAACATATGCTAAGGTCAAGTGAAAAAATATCCAGTGGAACTTTCTCAATGTCTCCAGAGCCTTCCTAGTTTCTACCAGTTCCAGGTTTTGTACCTCTCTGGAATTCTTTGGCATTATTCTGTCCCCCTCCCCTTTGTTTTTAATAGTTATTTTAAAATTTAGGTATATGTGTTTGTGAGACCTTGGAGACCAGAAGAGGACATTAGATTCCCATGAGCTGGAATTACAGGGGGTTGTGAGTCACCTAATATGGGTGCTAGGATTTGGACTATGATCCCTGCAAGAGCAGCGGGGGCTTTTTAACTGCTGAACCATTTCCCTAGACCCTGCTCCCTGTTTTGTCTTGGTGCTCGCCCTCCAACTTGCATGCCCACAAGAGTTAGCTTTCTGTTTGAGGCCTGCTGATCTGTCTTGGTGCTGTCTCGGAGTCATTCTGTCTTCCTCCTCTCTGCTGGCTCCCACCAGCACCTTTTTATGACCTGAGTAGATGAGGTAATAGGTTTTGTTCTAGTTTTTTATTCATACCCCAACTCCACTGCCAATTAATTGAGTGATGGTACCTTGTCTTAAATGATTCTTTTTTCACTAAAATGGGTGTGGAGTAGTACTTGTGACAGAGAGCTGAGGTGAGGCTTTAGATTGCCACTCAACAATCACGATATAGTGGAAATAACCCAGGTGTCTATTAGTGGAAGAATGGGTAAGAGAATGCAGTGTCAGTCAGCTGTCAGTCACTATAGTAGATACCTGTGCTAACTTACTGGAAAGGTTTTTTTCGGCTTATAATTTCAGAGGTTTCAGCCCCTTATTGGCCCTGTTGGTTTTGGTCCTGTGGCAGCATAGCATGTCATGGTGAGAAGTGTCATGTAAAAGCCTCAATACCTGGGATGTGAAAAAGTAGGGAAAGCACAGGGATCGTGCTTCAACAGCACAAGAGTAAAATAAGTAAAAGTGCCAAGCTGGGTCCCGCTTGGCACCCAGCCTTTAAAATCCTGGCCTTTGGGGCACATGTCAGATCTAAACTGTAATATGTAGTCCATTCATATAATAAAATACTATTTTCCTTAAAAAAAAAAAACAAAAAACAAAAAACCAATGTGGGGATTAGTTATTTAGCTCAGCAATACAGTGCTTGCCTAGTAAGCTCAAGGCCCTGGGTTCAGTCCCCTGCTCCAGAAAAAATAAAACAAGCCAACAAAACAGAGAAAAAAATACTAACATGGATGACTATTGTTCCAGTTTATATTATAGCAGCATTTAGTGGCTAAAATTAAAGTGTTCATTTCAGCTTTGTCTCTTGTGGGCTCCTGTTAATTTTCTGAATCTCATTTCGTGCCTCAGAGTTATTGATTTAGGAGTCATGACTCCCTGTGATAAGATACTTCAAGCAGCTCTGGACTACAAAGCAGGTACTGTACCATAGTCTGCTCTGTGTAGCATTCAGCATTACACTTCTGAGAGTCTGCTGGAGAATAGTCAAGCCCAGCCCTTTTGGGGTCTGAGAGACATTCAGGCAGCCGGCTCCACTGCAGGCTGTCAGCTTGAAAGAGGTGTGTGAGTGTCCATGGGCCTCTTATGTTCTAGAGGTGGAGTGGGCTGGCTTCTTAGAGGAAAACAATTGGGATGGATTTTTACCCCTTGTGTAGTTGTTTTTATGGTCAAGTCTGAGATTATCAAAAACTAGAGATAGTTTCTCTTGTGTGGCTTCCTTAATCTGCTGCAAATTTAAGTTGCACTTAAATTATTACCCAAAGCAAATACTAAATTCCTAGAATTAGAAATTGATGTTAGGTTTTCTGATCTTTGGTACAACATTTTTTAAAAGTGTTCAAATGTGGTCTTCTTTCTTTTTCATTCTCATTGGTCTTTTTTTTTTTTTTCCTCCTTTTACAATAGATATAATTGGCTTGTCAGGACTCATCACTCCATCCCTGGACGAAATGATTTTTGTTGCCAAGGAAATGGAGAGGTTGGCTATAAAGATTCCGTTGATGATAGGAGGAGCAACCACGTCAAGGTAAGTCAGTGTGATGAGTTCTACACTCACTTTAAATTCTCTTAGATGCCAGTGTTTATGACCATGGGAAAATCTGCTGTGTTCTCTGCTTTTGCTTAGCACGTTGTCTCCTTGTTGTGTAGCTTTCCACTCTTCACTGTTAGAAGGCTTCTGGAGCCCACTTTTGGAAACTCGTTTGTGATTGCCCTGTTTTGGCTCATAGTTATCTTTTGCTTAATCCTCTTGCCTTCCAGGCAGCTCCTAAAAATTATAATGTACTCTTAACCCTCTTGAAATCAGACTGAATAGCAAAATTGTGGAGTTTTTGTTTTGTTTTTCCCAGAAAGATGTTGTTAGATCGTCTGCTTATTCTGCTCGAGCAGGAGTTTTGCTAAGTAATTATAAATTCCCTTGAAGATACGCTAACCTTGTAATAGAGACACACTAATAAAAATGAACTAGGAAGTCAGCTGGAGGAGTTGTTTCTGAGGAGATGACTTTGGGGAAAAGTTTAGTATAAAAGGCATGAAGAGGAGAATGCTCACATTGAGTCACATGGGCAGTATTTGGCCCAAGTTCTTCCTGGGATCCTGGTCATGGCTACAGACCCTGGGCTTTTGCAGCATTTCTTACATTGAAGCCTTTTTGGTTGGCAGGGATAATATCAAGGTGGAGCGCTGGATTTGGTAGTCACACAGTGTGCAGGTTTTCTTTCTTTTTTTCTAGCGCAAAAGTGAAGTAATAGTGTCATGGGTATCCTGGGGCCCCTCAGGGAGTGAAAGATTTCTTTTAATTAATCAGCTCGTGTGACTGTACCTGGAAGGTCTGGAATGTGTAGGCTGGAGACTCAGGCAGGAGCCATCAGACAAATGAGAAAACCTTCAGATCCCTGGTTGCTTCTCTTCAGATCATTGAGGGTACAGCAGTGCCTAATTCTTCCCTTTACCAGATGACAGTTCAGGGCTTGTATGATTTTATGAGGCAGATTGCTGAGGGTGATAAGCTGTGACTTTTCCAGTAGCAGCATGAACCAGACTTGTGTTCCCAAATATTTGGGTGCAAGACCATTCAGTCTTTTGAAAGGCTGAAGGTTAGGGGTTCAGAGATGGGTGGGAATATACTTGGAGTATTCCTTTTAAACCTGTATTTTGTAGGGAGAGGTGTGTGTGTTTGTGTTTCAAAACAGGGTTTCTCTGTGGCTTTGGGGGCTGTCTTGGAACTCACTCTGTTGATCAGGCTGGCCTCGAGCTCACAGAGATTTGTCTGCCTCTGCCTCCCTAGTGCTGGGATTAAAGGTGTGCCACCACTGCTCAGCTTAAACCTGTATTTATGAAAGAGAACTGTTACTTTACCTGCAGTGTGGGTGATGTGGTATCACATGCGGGAACTTCATGGAGATCTGTCCTTGGTACAGGCAAAACTTCACAGGGTATACATTCTGAAAGTCAACTGTTAAACATTTAACTAATGTATAGCTAATGATACTGTTTTAGTTTGGGTTTCTATTCCTATGATGAAACACGATGACCAAAAAGCAAGCTGGGGAGGAATCCAACTTATACTTCCACATCGCAATTCTTTCAGCACAGGAATTCAAACAGGGCAGGATCCTAGAGTCCAGAGCTGGTGCAGAAGCCATGGAAGGTTTCTGCTTACAGGCTTGCTCCTCATGACTTGCTCTGCCTGGCCTGCTTTCTTATAGAACCTGGGACCGACAACCCAGGGATGGTGCCACCCCCACAATGGTCTGGGCCCTCCCCCGTCAATCACTAATTGGGAAAATGCCTTACAGCTGAATCTCTTGGAGGCATTTCTTTTGGTGGAGTTTTTTAGTGTCCCAGCAGCCTCTCCCAAATAACCACAAAGAGACTTAATATTAATTATCAATGCTTGGCCAATAGCTCAGGCTTGTTACTAGCTAACTTTTATAAATTTAGCCCATTTATATCTATCTACATTCTGCCACATGACATTACTGCTCTTTTATCTTGTGCCTCCTGTTTCCTCTCTGTGTCTTGCTGGTGACTCCTCCAACTCCTTCCTTCCCAGTCTCTATAGTCTGGTTTTCCTGCCTAACCTTATCCTGTTGGCTAGTCAGCTTCTTTTTTAAACCAATCACAGTGACATATATTCATATAGTAAAAAGGAATATTCCACACATATCCTCAACTGATGTTCCTTCTTCCCTGATGACTCTAGCTTGTGTCAAGTTGACATAAAACCAGTCAATACAACTACAAAGTAGTTTTGCAATTTCCTTTTTTTTAAAAATTTAATGGAAAGTCAGATTGCTGTAAGGTAGACATAATTTTTTGAGTGTGTGTGTGTATTTAATTGATCAGCAGTATGGTGATTTTTATCTTCCTTTTTACTTTGACCATGAACTTTCAGTAGAGAAGCTTAAAATGTTAAGATGTATGTAGGATTTCATGGAGTGCATTTTTGAAGCTGTTCTTATTTCTAATTTCATCTTGATTTCTCCATCTTTATTTTTTTCTCTTTTGTTTTTAAAAGTGTGTGTGTGTGTGTGTGTGTGTGTGTGTGTGTGTGTGTGTGTGTGTGTGTGATGGTCAGAGGACAACCTTGTGGAGTTTGTTCTCTTGGGTGTGCTTAAGCTATGGTGTGCTTGTAGAGGTCAGAGGACAGCTTTGGGGCAAGAGTTTCTCTTTCTACTATGTGGGTCCAAAGGATTTAGTTTATGTCACCATGCATGGCAGAGGGTGCCTTTTAATCATTGACATCTCACTGACTCTCTTCATCTATCTTTATGTGGGATTCAGGCATTGAATTTAGGTGATCAGGTTTGTGCCGTGAGCACATTCACCAGCCCTGTTAAAATACCAGTTATGCAGTGTTTATAAAAAAAATACTTTAATTCTAGATTAGGTCGTGATAGAAAATAAAAGATTACAATACACTTTGACTAAGGGAAAGAATATGAAAATAGCTGATTTGGAAGGAGGAAAGAACAGGAAACACATGGTGGGAACTTCTATAAGCCATCCTGTGAACCACTTTTTTCCATCTTCAGAACCCACTTTAACCACTCAAAGGGAGGCTATATTTGCTTCCAGTTCTCACTTAATTTTGCATATTTCTTAATGAAATTGTTGATACATAGTCTATACCATTGCTATAAGCACCTAGCAATCCAAACAATATATTTAACATGTTAAATGTGATATTTAATAATTAAGGTTGTTCCTGGTGTCTGCATGTTAAAATTTGGCAATAGAAACCTGGGCCTGAGCAATTCTTAGTACACAGTTTTTTGATACTTCTATGCTTTGTTTTAATTAGTTGATTCACTTTTATGATATTAAGGATTGATTGAGCCTAGGGCTTTCTGCATTGTAGTAAGAGTGTACCATTCAGCTCTATCTCTGCCTCTTTCTGGTTTTTGTTGCATTTCAGGTCTGGGGTTTCTTCTTACAAGGAGAAGGTGAGGTGAGGCCAATGGTATAGATGTCTCTTTTAAAGAGGAAGCAGCAGCTAGATCTGTGTCCTATGTCGTGTGCTTGCTTCCTTCTTCCCTGGGGTGCTGGCTCTTCTCCCAGCTCATTTGGAAGGAGGAAGTTGACCTTGCTGACAGTAGGGTGTGACTGCCAGGGACTGGTTCTTCCCTTGGCTCAAGCAGGCTGTGATGAGCGCCTGGGCTGGAACTCATTCCTTGTTGGCAGATAGCTAAGAAGAAACCTCTCTCATCTTGTCAGCTCCCTTGGAGCCTATGCCTATCAGTTCATGTCATTTCACCTTGTTTTCCCATCTCGGAATAGTGAAAAGTCAGTCTTGGTTTACAAGGGAAATTTGAAGTTCAATATTTGTAAGTAAGTACCTTGAAGTCTTTCTCTTGAAAATAATTAATGTTTTGAACACGAGTTGTTTGAGCAAAGAGCTGTCAGCACTGATGGATATGCTTTTCTTCTTGACCATTATTTTCAGGACTCACACAGCAGTTAAAATAGCACCACGATACAGTGCTCCTGTAATCCATGTCCTGGATGCATCCAAGAGTGTGGTGGTGGTGAGTGCAGACTCTTCCTTTTATTTTAAATGTGTTGTGAAGAGGGAACAAAGAAAGCATTAAGAGTTAAGGTATCACCGAGATCTGTCTTGTCTTGGCAAGTTCTGCTGCAGAAATGTGAAGGAACAGGTGAATACAGGCGAAAGTTCACAGCGTGCCACTGCAGCGCTTGCCTTGCTGGAAGTGAGCCCTGTTAGCAGTCTTGTGGTTTCAGAGATGCTGACAGAACTGAGCAACGGCTGAAGGATGACCAAGATGCCTTGCACTTGGACATCTGACCAGATTGACAGATGCCTTTAATTTACAAATATGAGTAAATTTCTTTGACCAGTGCTAGAATTAAACAGAACGTAGGAATTTTAAAATGACCTTGTTTCAGACGTAAGAATACTTGATAGGGCTGGCTGACTCAACCAGAAAGCAGTCACAAGATATGTAAAACCCAGAGTCCTATATAGTTTCTCAGTGAACATAACAAAAAACCTTGCCCAGGTATTATTCCCTGCCCTTCTCTTGTAGTAAATCCTGATCGTCATGCTTATGTGTTTGCTGAATAATATGCTACAACAGCTGGAGGACATCAGAGAGACCACATGGTCCTTCAGCTTCCAAATTACTTGCCTAGAAATCAGTGTAAGATAGAAAAGAGCTAAGCGGCCTCCTCTGTCCTTAATCCCATTTATAGTTTATAAAAGAAATCTACTGAAGGGCCTGGTGATCTAGGAGACTCTACCAACACCATGCACTGGATAACAGTGACCACGGTTTCTGTGCTGTTTCCTGAAAGGGAAAATTTCAGAGCTCATATTTATGTATGTGGAATTTATACAGTGATCACTATTACACTGAGTTGAGTGTATCATGAGGTGTTATTGTGGGGTGGAGGGGCCACATATGTGTATGGAGGTCAGAGACAACTTGTAGGAATTGGTTCTCTTTTTCTACCATTCATGGGTCCTAGGGATTACATACAGTCAGGTTGTCAGACTGGCAGCCAGCATCTTTACCTACTGAGCCACCAGCCTCAGTGGACTTGATCTTCCTTTGCTGCCTATGGTAGTTGAACTTACCTTGCATTTCAGTGTTCTCAGCTGTTAGATGAAAATCTGAAAGATGACTACATTGAAGAAATACTAGAAGAATATGAAGATATTAGACAGGACCACTATGAGTCTCTCAAGGTAAGTGATAAAAGCAGAGTGATCCATTTTTCACAGGCTTTATTGACTGTTTTGAGGAGTCCTTTGAAAGAAGTGTATTTCCTAGCATAAATGAGTTTTTTGGTATCTGAATTCCTGATTTCTTTTTTTTTAATGCTACAGTGAATTGTAAGTAGGGCATGGACCTGCATGCCTATAATCCCAACACTTGGGGGAAGAAGATCATGTGTTTGAAGCCAGCCTGGGCTACATAGCTATGTCTCAAAACATTTGGATTTTTTAAAAACTGTATTGAATACAACATTCTGGATCCTTGGTAGATAATTGGCTGTATGCCAGACACCAGGCCTGTAAGAACAAGTAAAATGTGAGCTCATAGACATCCCAAAAATATGAGTTAAACCATTCTAAAATGGTATTCTCAAATTTACTCTTGAGGGAAAAATGGAAGAAAATGGAGTCATTAACTAGTCATTCTCAAGCCTTTCCTGGTTATTGGCTCAACCTTGTCTGCTATTCAGAATCATGTGCCAGGAACAGTCAGTCCCCTCTAGGCTTCAAGAACTCCTTAATTACCCTTCGAAGTCACTAGGATAGTTCCCAGGCTTGTCTGCCTTCCATTTTTGTGTGGGGCACTAAAGAGTTGCTGGGAATGTGAATGAGAGAATAAACAAGTGATGTGTTTCTGGGGTGCTCGAGAACTGTAGGTGCTGCCCATGACTTCTTTCCAGCCTCTTGTTTGCCTGAAGCTGGCAGTTCCTTGAGTCTATCCTGCTCTGGGCCTCAGGATAGTTTTGGCAGGGCAGTTAACTCCAACTCCATGTGTCCTGAAAGAACTGGTCAGGCCATGATGATGAAACCCACAAAGACAGCTGACCATATAAGGGTTAGCTCTTGAATCCCAGACTGATGGCTGAGAGGCCAACAGGGGACTGATCCAGACTCCATGAATGTAGTGCCAGTGAGGAGGCCACAGAAATCACTGGGACCTTGGGTAATAGATCAGTGTTTACTATGGTTTATGAATGAGCTTTGGGAGCCCATTCCAAATAGAGGGATGCTCTCTCAGCCTGGACACATGGGGAAGGGCCTAGGTCCTGACAAGCATGAAATGACAGACTTTAGAGATCCCCCCCCCAAGGAGGGCCTCACCCTCCCTGGGGAATGATGTGGGGATTGGGTGGGGGGCTGAGGAGGCTGGTGAAGGAACAAGGGAGGAGGGGTGGGAGAGGGAGCTGGGACTGACATGTGAAACATTCATGTTTCTAATTTAAATAAAAACATATATTGAGAAAAAAAAGATTAAAAAAAAAAGAACTGGTCAGGGCTGCGGGGCCAGTCTTAACAACCACAATGAACACGTATGACTCTACTCTCTCCTAGTCTAGTGGCAGTGTGAAGCCATATTGGTTGGATAACAATAAGGATAATCCTTTAAAAGAGTTTGTAAAACTTTCCTGTTTGTGTTTTCATTGTAGACGTAGAAAAGCTAAGAAGTTTTAACTAAATTACCATTTTTCTTCAACAGGAGAGAAAATACTTATCCCTAAGTCAAGCCAGAAAAAGTGGTTTCCACATTGATTGGCTGTCTGAACCTCACCCAGGTCTGTGACTGTTGCTGGAGACAGCTAGTATGATAACTGACAATGTCTAGGACTGTTTGCTATTACTCTGCTACAAATGAACCTGCAAGTGAGGAATTCTCAGTTGTGTGTAGCAGTGTGTCACCCTGGTTGAAAAGAAGGTAGATAGAAAGACCTGTTGTGAGATGGAGTCTCCATGGCTGATCTGAGTCCTTTAGATGACTCTAACAAGCATGTTTATTGTCTCCTTTTTAATTGAAGAAACTCACATTTCAGCCAATAGCTTGAATGGTGGTCAGGCTTCTACTGTCAGTTTTGTCTTTTGTAGCCTCACTGCTTCTCTGTGCTTGTCTGAGTGAGCCTGCTCGACTGACCTCAGTTGCATGTAGGCTAAAGGTCTCACTTGGAATGTCTGAAATATAAGATAACTGCATTCATGGTTGTTGAAAAATTGCAGCAAAGCTGGATCATTTTTCACTCTCTTGTTCTGTCTCTGGATGCTTCCCTTTGAATTTCTCTTATGTGGTCTCTTCCCGTTTTATTTCTGCTACCTTTCTTACCTCACAGAGGTATTCACAAGGGAGTAATATGCATAAGATGCTTTGACAGGCTTAGAGAGACATGAGGCACAAATGCAAAACCAAGACAGGGTGAAGGGGGGTTCTCTTATAGGAATCCGTATTTCCAAAGTAGTGTCTGAGACCAGCTCTCAGTGCTCATGACAGCTGTGTTCTACACATGCTCAGCAGAGTCGAGTCACTAAATTGGAAAGGTAGGTGTACTCGGTTCTAATTTCATTCCTGCTGGGTTCAGTGTGGTTTAGTGGAAAGAGTGCCAAATTGGGAGCTGGGAGGCATGGGTGCTCATCCCAGCTTGGCTCCTGGCTCCGATTCCCTCTGTGACCCTGAGTGTCTGTCTTCTATGTTTGACAGGCCCTGATATGTAAAGGGGAATTGCTTTATGGAAATGTTGAAAGGGAAAATAAGATACTAATGTGAAAGCCTTTGAAGAAATAGAAGTCATTACAACAGAGTCCATGCTGTGGTAGTTCGCTGTTTAATTTTTACTCTGAAATTGGTCTAGCAGCACCAGGGAAAGTCATATCCAAATATATATTTTGCTAGAAAGGACCCTGAAGAGGCCCATAATACCTGCTAGTGATGGAGATACTTCCTGGATTGCGTTTTTTGCCCCCATACGATGACATCACTAGCTCTACCCTGCTGCCTGAGGGATATGGGGCCCCAAGGTATGGCCTCTGAATGTTCTGAGGATAGCCCACTTCAGGGAGCTGTCTAAGGTGAAACCAGTAAGAAAGCAGGGCCTTCTCTCTAGGCTCTGGGGCGTAGAGCTTGAAGCAGCCTTGGAACTGAGGCATGAAGCTTCATGAAGAGCAGCCCTACCCTTGGCAACTCCACAGCTACAGGTCACTGCCTTCCTCCTAGCAAGAGGCCTCTTTGGTCTGGTGGTGTCAGTGGTCTCTCTTGCGTCTCCTAAGAGGACTATGCAGACTTTGTTAACAAACAAACCTACACAATAGTGGTTAAAAAGCGGGGGCAGCCCCGAACCGTAGGAAGATGGCAGAGCAGATGGGGAAGAGTCACTGTGGTGCAGGAAGGCAGAGATCCCAGCTCAGTAAAGATCTCCTCAGCTCTCTCCTCGCTTCCTGAGAGGCCCGTGTTCTTCAGAGCAGCTGCTAACAGTAGAACAGCGAGTCTTCAGATCCCTAGTCACAGGGAAGCCTGGGCACTCAAGAGTTGGCAGTAGCACTGGCCCCTTGGCCTCTGGCCCAGTACCCATGTGGCATTGTGTCCTTGGTGTCCTGAATTGTTAGAAGTACAGTTTGCCTATAGAGTCCCCAGAAGTATATGTTATGATATGCTACAGACTTGAGATGCAGAGAAAAATTCCTGAATGCCTGTGTATTTCCATTACTCAACATAAGAAATGTTATGACTTAATAAATCTTAAAAAAATCAAAGATATTCATCCATAATGTCAATGCTATATTTGTCTCTACCCTGTAGAAGTAGTCACAGTTTGGAGTTTGTGACTTGGTTTCTGTACATGCCCTTACACTTAGTGTGTTTGTGTATGCAGTGAAGGCTATTGGTACATGTTTGTAAATTTTGTATAAGTAGTGTATTATACATGCCCTTCTGCAATAGTCTTTTTTCTAACATTGTCACAATCCGTACACACAGAAGTGAACTAAAGGCTTCCTTTTTTCTTAGATGTGGTGGGGACGAAGGGCTGAGGGAGGAGTTTCCAGCATGAGTTAGTCAGTCGGCTTCATGGGGAAATTCCTTCTCCATGATAATTTAAGACAACTCCAACAGGTGTGGGGGGGCAGACAGGCATGGGAGTAAGCTGCACAGTGAGGAGCAGGGAAGGACACCTCAGTGTACCTCCATGTGAGTGCTCTCCCAGCTGGTGTGGCATTGACAGCTCTGTCTCTTTCCTCTAGTGAAGCCCACATTTATTGGGACCCAGGTCTTTGAAGACTATAACCTGCAAAAGCTGGTGGACTACATTGACTGGAAACCTTTCTTTGATGTCTGGCAGCTCCGTGGCAAGTACCCGAATCGAGGCTTCCCCAAGATATTTAACGACAAAACAGTAGGTTAGTAATTCCTTCCTGCCTGGTATTCAGGATGTGCTATTGTGATTCTCAAGGTGGTTTGAGAGGATGCACTAAGTGTTTAGTTTGCACAGGATACAGCTGCTTCCATATTGCTCGCGTACTCAGCTTTCAGATGAGCATTTCATTGTTTCTTTACCCTTATTATGTGGGTAAATTTGATGTTTTATTCACTCATTCTTTAAATTAACATACTCACTGACATCAATTACATACTGGTCTCTGCTCAGCAGAGACAAACAAAAGAGTGATAACTATGGTTTAGTGCCGACTCACGGGTGCAGCTGACAGTACTCAGTGTTGCTGGGCTCTTGCTATGGGCTCAACCTGCGATCCCACTCACATAAGAAGAGGACTAGAGCTCCAGCAGGAGATGAGAGTCGGCTTCCTGGAGGTGGTGGTACTTGAACTGTTATCGAAGATTCTGTGGGAATTGCTGATACTGGGCCTAGAGATAGGAAGCAGAAATAAAGGAACAAGTCAAACTGAAGAGAATGAGAAGCCTTAGACATAGGTGCCCATGTAGGGAACTGCAGATCTCATTTTACCTAGAATACGCAAGGAAGGAGGGAGCTTCACCCCCACCCAACCCTTAGAGACATGGAGGACGAGTACTGGTGATCCATGAGATTGAGGCTGGAGAGAGCCAGGGAAAGCAGACAGTTACCAGCTTTTGGAGGGTCCTGGATATGTTAGTGTGCTGACCCACTACTGATGGACAGTCAGGAGGATTGGGTGACGGCCTTCTTACTGCACTGTCCCTGTGCCACCACAGACAGCTGTGAAGGGACGGACTGACCTTCACACAGGTAGGGCAGCACAGTGTTGTCTACTGAGAGCTAATGGGAACTGATGGCAGGTGTCCCAGAACTGGTCAGGTGCCTACCACACAGGTGCTGAAGCTATTCGGATACAGCACCAGTGCCGTTTAAGGGGATTTGGGCCACACATGGCTCACCCTGTCTCATCCTCATATATCACTGTGAAGTTAATAGGGTTGTATGTGGGATGCTAAGTTTTGCCCTCTTTCTGACAAGACTGTTCTGGGTACCATTGATTTAGCTCTCTGAATTCTACTAAATGGGAAAATATGAACAGATTGAACTAAAGGAGGCATACTGTGGGGGTTCGTTTCATGGTATACTCTGCTTCAGGCTGTGCCCATGGCAAACCTGGGAGTCTATGTGAGAATGGAGAAGAGGGTAGGGGAAGAGAAGCAGCAGTGCTTTAAAAAGAACTGTTACTATTGGCATCTATAAATAAATTCTTATTATTTCTTTTTAATAGGTAAAGAAGCCAGAAAGCTATATGATGATGCTCAGAATATGTTGAACATACTGATAAGTCAAAAGAAACTCCAGGCCAGGGGTGTGGTTGGATTCTGGCCAGCACAGAGTGTCCAAGATGATATCCACTTGTATGCAGAGGGTGTGGTGCCCCAGGCTTCAGAGCCCATAGCCACCTTCTATGGACTGCGGCAGCAGGTATGGGATGTGTGTGGACAATGAGTGCACTGCTTTGACTCCCAGCCTAGGGAACTATACTAAATGTCAGTGAGAGTTAAATGAGAAAGCTGAGCCTTTTGTCTGTACCATTTCATCTCAAACAGCCCTGGCAGGCCTGAGTCCTAAGCATTTGTGAGGGTGGAGAGAAGGCGCCAACATGGGTGTCCATGAGGTAGGGCGGAGGTTCACTGCAGATAGACAGGAAATAGTGCTGCTGGCCCAGCTGTCATACTCTTGTGTTTTCCGTCTTCAGTACCCTTTACTTTCATCTGAGTATGCTATTAAAGACTGTCATGTGGCGTACTGTCTCCAAGGGAAGTCTTGTCCCGCGCTACCGTCTCGCCAGCAAGAACGACGCAGAACACTCGGATCCT